ATAGCAACACCCAAAAACCCCTTGGCAACCCAACCTGGCAACAGCCCAGCTCCGCCTTGGCATCCTCGCTAATTCGGGACACACTTATCCCTCTGCTCAGGGGTCTTAAAGTTAACCTTTGGGTGTGAGAGTGTGTGAGATATGGAAACAGTTTGTGCTTCAGAATGCGAGCGGCACAGCTGAGCGGTCAGCTGGAGTCGAGGGACTGGCTGAGCTCGGGGAAAATACAGACGCATGCTTTCGCCCACATATACCACTACTGGTATTTCATAATGCACTGCCCTGTACTGGGTGGGGTCAGTCATTTTAAATAGTGGAACAGTATTTTAAGTTGTAAGTATGTCTTGTTCCTACTGGGGGTCCAAAGTAAACAAAAAGACAATTGATGTGTTCATAATCACAGTAGTAATATTAAACTATATTTATATAGGACCCAGGTTACAATAAATAAATATATAGCAATAAAACAAAAAATATTAAAATCACAACATTTCAGTCAGACAACTGCTGTTTGTACCTTTAAAATATTTAAAAGTCTAGACTCAGGCCTAATCACTCCTCACAGTTTTAATTTACATGCAGAAATTTGAGGAGTGATGGGATGAGAGCTAAAACCCCCATTCAAAGCCTACAGGTGAATGCAGGGGGGGGTGGTTCGGCTGAGTGCAGTACTGGTGCAGGTCAGAGCTGGCAACGAAAGAGCAAAGGGAGCGATCCGAAAATCTTGCAGCTTTAATAGACCGCTAATTGGAAGGAGGTGATGTCAGGTGATTGTTAAGAATGAGGCATGTGAAGTGTGAAACCACTGATGCTTGAGCTGACTGCTTGAACTAGCTCACAGATGTCGTGATTAATAAAATCATCATATCATATGGGAGAGATGTACTCCAAAAAACTATTCAATTAATGCAAAAATGGTGGATTCTGTCATTGTGACTGTTTCTGCGTTAATACCACACGAAAGGACAATTCTGTAAAACAACGCATCAGCAGAAGGTAAGCAGAAAAGTGTAAATGGGGAGGCAGTAGCTCAGGCTGTAAGGACTGCAGGGTTGCCAGGTCGAGTCCTGGTGCAGACCACAGTATGAAAACAGCTCTGTATCTGGAGAGGTGCCAGGTCACTTCCAGAGTACTGCCTAGGTGCCATTGAGCAAGGCACCAAACCCCCAATGTGTAGATGCCCCACTCTGACATCTCTTCATTAATGCATGTGCACAGGTCCTGTTTGTGCATGAGTTTGTAAGTGTCCTCTTAACTGAATCTCAAAAGATTTGGAGTACAGTGCATGTGTGAAGGTAATGTGATTGGTAATGACTGATTTTTAGACTTGAGTTTAAACTTGATGTTCTATGTGCACAAAAGTCGTCTAAGTAAGCCAGTAGACTAGAACTGAAGAGGAGGCATAAAGGTGGCTGCTTGAGATGCTGATTCATTTTTTTTCTTTTCTTTTCAAAGATCTTCACTTTGGACCCTTTTTGCCTTTACTGATTGGACAGACGAAGAAAGACATGAAATGTGGGGGGGAGGAAGTGAGGTATAGACATGCATCAAACATTCGAGGCCAAGAGTCGAATCTGCGGCTGATGTGTTAACGACTCTAGCGTCTGTATATGGGGTGCCTGCTCACTGAGCTGAACTGTGGCCTTACTAAATAATTTATACACCATGCATGTTCCTACAAGGATGTTGGAAGCACAAAACTGGCAGTGGCTGTTGCATAGGGAAGACAGCTGAAATGAATTTGTTGGATGCAAGGCCTTAAGTGTAGTAAGTTGATGTCACACTATGATGTGCAGGAGGATACGAGGCTTTAAAAAGCACTGTTGATCTGTGGCTGTGAAAAAGCTTTCAGTGTTTTCTACAACTTCTGGGCTGACTTTGCTGACAGATGGAAGTTCTCAGAATGGTAAGGATTTAGGTGACCACCGTTACAACACTACCACTGTATGAACCTCTTTGTCAATCCTTTATGACAAACTACTCTAATTAATGTTGACCTGCTGAACAGCAGCCTGTTGACAGATGACAGATAACATTATTTGATTTCAATGCATCACTTTGTAAAGTGGCTGCCCAAGAACTTAGCATGGCTTGTTACCTGTATGTTATAGAAGTGTCATGCAGAGGCTCTGCTTGTCAACAAAATGGGTCCAAAATGTATAAATTTTGCAACAACATTAGGAAACCCTTGTAACGGGGCACCATCTAACAGCAGTTTCACTCTCAATGCCCTGCTGAGCATTGTTACATGATTGCTGCAATACTGGTGGGAAGGGCCCCAGATAGATTTTTGCAGAGGACCCTAACAGATTTTTATAATCTGCCCTGGTGTCATGAACACCTGGGCCCAGTTGTTCAATAGTAATCCAACAGGATTAAAGCTATCGGATGGAGTTCTATCTTGAAATCAAGAAAAAAGGACAATGTGATCGGATCCTGGTTTTAATCCAGATAAATCCTCCAGTTTGTGTTGTTCAAAACTTTTGAGTGAGAACAATTGGTTCCAAAAATCAGGATCACCCTGACTCCAGCAGAGAGCTGGATTCATGCTGGATTACCGGGAGAAAATTGCTGAAACAAAAAACAGCAGATAGATGATATTTAAATACTTTTTTTAAAATGATATCTTTCAGAGTGCTGTTTTGCTTCAGCAACAAAGTAGAGAAGGTATAAATTAGGGATGTAAAACAATATTTTTGTTTATTAAATTATTCACCAAAAAGTATCATTAACACACATTAATAAGAAATTCAACGCATTAAGGATCTTTCAGCCTGTGTGGATTTTGGAGCCCCCTGTGCACAAGGAATGTGAAGTCCCCTTTAAAGCTCTAGTTATCTGGATTTGGTGATCCTTAAAAGACTGTATCATGTTCAGGTTGATGCCATCCAGTTTTTCTTTGAACAACCAGGATTAAAGAGAGCTGGATTACGTGATCCTTTGCAGAAGAAAGTGGATTACCAAATGTCTATCGTTTGTTTCTGGATTAGACCTTTTCAAAACCGGAGCCCAGCATGCTGACTGGAACGATACAGCGTTGCTCCAGCAGCTGTTTTTTGAGCAGCTGAGGAGGACAATAACAGACGTGAAGATGTCATTGGGTAATGAGACAGGCATGTGGGGAGATATCAGTCCAGGCAAGATGCTTCCAGAAGGTTACTGCTGCTCTCTGGTCCTCCATGTTGTGGCTGTGGTTAAATGGATCTGTCTTGAGGCAGGGACTGTTCTGATGCCTCAGTAAGATTAGGATTTGGTCTGCCCTTCCCAACAACCAGTACTCCCCCATGACCACAGATATGAGTAACAACGTCACTCTTCGTGATAGATAACAAAGTTTCAAATGCCTCCGTTGGACGTCTAAATCATAAAAATGTTATTTAATTATAACCTATAACGGCAAAGTAGCAGTTTTGACACAGAGAGCCATTCTTTCAGATCACATGCCCTCTCCAACATATTTATGATTACTATGACCGCGGGTATTGATTAAGTATTGTTATATCCTATTACAATGTGGTAGAATTTGATGACATCAGGGGGGCACACCACTGAACTTGGCATGGGGTCCAGGGGTCCTTATTTTGAAAAAATATGTAGGCCTATAATGAATGTATGTCCTCTGGGAACTTAATTATATTTAAATTAGAAATATATGCCTCTGTCTCCTAAAGCTACATTTGATGCAGTAACAAAACTCTGTTTGTATGTATCAAGTTCACAAGCAGAAAAAGGATAAGGACAGCACTCTGGACTGTTCTTTTAATTGCCTCACGGACGTTATTGAGCAGAAGCTCTTCTTCAGCATGAAACAGACAATTTTCACAAACATACACAGATGGGTCAGTTATACTAAATAGGTACCAGTCAATCCCAGCAGGGGGGAGTCTCCACCACACAACTTTCAACAAAGAGATAGTAAACAAGCAGCATCATACAGCAGAACGAGAGGACAACAATGCCAATCAGTTCATAGGAAACAGGTCAATGAAATCTCTCCATGTAAACCAGTTGGAATGAGGGTACCCAAAGAATGGATCCAATAAGTCTCTTGCTGCAGAAGCCTGTTACACGCTGTGGAAGAGCGCCTGCTCCATACATCATTAAATACCATGATTTATATTTGTTTCAGCAACAGTATTTAATATAGATTGTGAGTCTGGTTGTTGAGTCAAATTCTGTGTATGTGTTATTAGGGGCGCTTTTCCTTTTGGGAGGGGGTGGCCACAGGGGGGACCAAGTTCAGTGTTAAAGGGCCCCTGTTGGCCTCTGCCTAGAACCGCTCATGCCTCCTGCTGTAACTTGTGTTCGTTGAAGCGAGTGAGTGAGTTGTTATGCGAGTATAAGCATCAGTCACAGCAGGACTGGCACAGAGGCAAGGAAATAGTCACTTAATAAAACAGTATAGTATAATATCAGCTTCAACGTGCAGTTTGACTGAGGTACCCAGTTCATTTTAGGTCTATCTACCTCATATCGCTTGTACCAACTAGCAGGACAGAAAATGCAAACAGTGAGGCTGCAGCTCCTCCTACTGACCAAATGGCCTAACTGATTCACACTCGAGGTGAGTTGGGAAGCTGTAAACTGGGATCTTTTGATGAAATACAGCACGATAATAAATGTCTGGAATGTATGTGTCTTACAAGATAACCACTACTGTGCCATGTACCTTGTACATTTATTTCTGTATGGGTAGTTAGAGTATCTCTAAGTGGTAAATAAACCACAACTGCACTGAAAGAAAATGTTCCCACCTGCAAACCTACAGGATTTATAAATAATAACCACTGGCTTCATTTAAGGGAAAGTAGCGTTACTCCTGAACACTGGAGGTTTCCTTTTTTACAAGAGTCATCATTTAAAGCTTTCCCCACACTGGCACAGAGTCTTTAAGAAGGATGAAATCTACTGATAGATGAACTTGGCCACACATTGGTGATCTAAATGGGGAAGTGAGAGTACAACATTTATGCTGATGCCTTTCTGGGTGTTATATTTCCTTCACAGAAACCCTTCATTTCTTGTTTCTGTTTCCTTGCAAGAGCATGAAGATGTTGAGCCGGATGTTCATCCTGTGTAGTAAGTTTACTTTTTCACAATATTTATCATATAATGTTATTGATGCAGTTGCAATAGAGAGAGAGAGTAATATTACCAATGACTTTATTATTGTTGTCATAGCTACACTGCGGTATAGGTAAAGTTAGTGATGTATTTCTATTACTGTATAATGCTGCTTGAAATATATGGCTTTACTTTGTGTCAACTCTATGAGAATGGATGCATACATATATGATACAGTTTGTATGTGTGTGCGTATTCATGTCCACATGTAGAGGGGAGGAAGAAGAAGATGTGCCCGCACATTTGATCAAAAAGCTTTTATTCCGTTTAAATCACAACGTTTCGACCGGGGGTCTTCTTCATGTGACGTTGTGATTTGGACGGAATAAAAACTTTTTGTGGCATTTGATCAAGTGTGCGGGCATTTCTTCTTCTTCCTCAGTCCGATGTTTTTGCCCTGCACTGACATGATGTTCGTATAATGACTAACTATTTCACATGCAGGTGCAAATATTCAAAGATTCCATTTATTTGTCATTTTTCTTATGTATCTGCATACATAAAAAAAAAAGACCAAATGCTGTTCTCCCAGCCCCAAGCAGTGTGACAGAAAAAAAACATGTAACATATAGACACATAAATACACCTAAAGATCTAGTAAGGAATAAAATCAGTTCTACAAGTACGTTAATTACAATAAAAATAGCACCGACAATATAAGTAGAAAAAAAAAGAAAAGAAAAGAAAAAGAGCAGACAAGAAATAACACAGGAAGCATACAGTTAGCACCACAGTTTTTCAATCGTGTCTAAAGTGCAGTGGCTATAAAGTGCGAGTGCAGCATTCCTGATTAGTGTGACAGAAGAGGGGGGGGCGCAGTTTGTTTATGATCCTGACAGCCTGTTGAGCATTCTGCTTGATTTAGAAGAAATGCTCCGGTACCTTTTGCCTGGCGGAATGAGGTAAAACAATTTGTGAGATGGGTGGTGGTGGGAGTCCTTTATGATGCTGGAGGCCTTGCGAGCCCAGCGCTGATTGTAAGTCTCCAGCAGGAAGATACATATGTACATTTGTATTTTTTGTTTTGTTAAAAGCACCATGTAGGATATGAATATGGTTATCATGAAGATCACTTAAATGTTAACGCTCAACTAAAAACATCCACTATTGATTTCATTTCATTCTGATTTTATTTCACTAATTATATCTAATTATATTTACTTAGTTACTTATGTATTGACAGAAGTACACTCCACTTCTAAATCTACTGCTTTTGGACTTTATCTCATAAAAAAGTATGTTTTTCAGTCTAAATTAGTAAATGGACAGGTCGCCAGATGGCCTAGAGGTTATGTCTAGCGCCCTATGTGCAGAGGTTATGGTCCTCGTCACAGCCGCCATGGGTTTGAATCCAACCTCGGCCTTTTGCTGCATGTCTTCCCCCACTCGTTCCTTCTAACATTTCCTGTCTCTCTTCAACTGTCCTATCCAATAAGGGTAAAATGGGCCAAACATATATCTACAAAATGGAATGGACCGAGTAGTGAATGTAAAAGACATCAAATTTGACATTCCTTGTCGTCTTCTCTTCACAGTTGCTCTGAGTGGTGTCAGCAATTCAGCAGCGCTGATCACTGTGTCTGGATATGAAGGAAAAGCAGTGGGTATCTCTTGTTCCTATGGCATGGGTTATGACTCTTATGAGAAGTACCTGTGCAGGAATGACTGCGGTAGCAATGATGTTCTTGTAACGACGACAGAAACAAGTAAAAACAGATTCTCCATCTACGATGACAAAGAGAAACGAGTCTTCACAGCCAGTATTACTGGTCTCACACTAACGGATGCTGGGAAGTACTGGTGTGGGGTGACCAGGAATGGGAAAGATATCTACACTGAAGTAAAGCTGCTAGTCGGAAAAGGTAGGTCAAGAAAGCAAGAAAAAAGACCCCAGAGCTGCATTTCCATGATGTAAGAAAGTCAATATCTCATCACACACCTCGTCTTAAAGCAAATTAAAGATTGTCCTGTTCATGCGTCTTGGGTGTAAAATAATGCTGCTGTAGAATTGAACAGTTTGTCTCATTAGACCTTACAGAGGAGGGACGTTAAAAACTACATTCTCTCAGGGACTTGATTCATACTAAAGTGCTTTCCTGAAGTATTTCTGTTATCTGCTGTTTTATACCTCCGCTTTATTTTATTTCACAGGCTCAAGTTGGCCAGCTACACGTATTTGACAGATTTTTGTAGAAACTCAGCAGATTCATCTTACCCCCTTGTAAATGATAAATGGACTTGAGCTTGTAGCACTCGTTTAGTCTTCTGACTACTCAAAGCACTTTTACACCACAGGTCACACGCTGATGGCAGAGGCTGCTATGTAAAGTAGTGTAGTACTAAAGGTTGGTCTTGGCCTCGAGACTGGTCTCGAGGTAACTTTTTTAAAGGTCTCTGTCTCGTCTCGGATTCGCAATAATTTTGACACAGTCTCGTCTCGGTCTGAGCAGAATCCAGATTTTAAATGAAGACCTGTATATGTTTAAGTTGTTGCATTATATTCCAGCACAGTCTTTCGCAGAGGGGCAAATCCCTCCCCATCGTAACTTCAGAAAGACTCAGCCTCTCTGGGATGCTCTTTTTATACCCCATCATGTTTTTTTGTGTCATCATGTGTACTTTTGTAAGAATTTAAAACTTATTGTGAGCATCAAAAAAAGATTCAACATTTGATATGTTGAATTTGTGATATTCTATCATATATGGGCTTTCAATGTTCTGCAAAGCATCACAGATAACATTATGCACAGCGTCAAATGATGATCCTTTAATACTTGATGTACTGTTTCAACTAGTTAGAAGAAATAGTTTACATGGCTCAATATTGACCAACTATTAAACTGCTGACATGTAAATATAAAAATAAACAGCTGTTATATGTACTCGGGAAAATGTTCAAATCTAGATTTTGTGGTGTGATGTTGTTGTTTTTTTTACTGAAGATGAAAATGTATCAATGTTTGATTTGCTGACAGACAGCTGCTGTGATCAATCTACCAGACTACAAAGTTATGAGGACGGCTCAGTGGACTTGATTTGCCCGTACAAGCAGAAGGACCAAGACAACCTGAAGTACATCTGCAGAGGAAACCAGTCCTCCACATGTCTGCAGCAGGCACTGGTCACATCTGAGTACAAACAAAAGGGATACTTCAGTCTGGCTGATAACAAGATGTCAATGAAATTCACAGTGACCATCACCAGTTTGACCCGGAAGGATTCTGGGCCGTACCTCTGTGGTGTCCAAAGAAAGTCCGACCTGGATGTTTTCACTGCTGTTAGTCTGGAAGTCAATGGTCAGACATCACAGTTTGACCCCATCCTATTTCTTCATTACTGCTTATGATCTCCTCTAAACATGAAAAGCACATTGCATCTAACTTGCCCTGAATGTCTTTCTGTTTGGCAGAGTGGTGCTGTGTGGAGTCAAGTGAACTGAGCGGCATTGTGGGGCATCCTCTTTCTATACAGTGTCCCTACCCACCTCAACACTGGGATAACAGAAAGTTCCTTTGCAAAGGAGACCACCGCAAAAACTGCACAGATGTAATGACTCAGAGCAGGTTCTCATTACAAGATAATGTTTCTTCAAGCTCTTTCTCGGTGATGATCACAAGAACCAAAGTAGAGGATGCCGGGACATACTGGTGTGGTTCAGACTCACAGTGGGCAGTGGGAAACTTCACCAAGATTCATCTGTCATTAGGTAGGAGTACAAAAAAAGTAACGGCATAACAGTCAAAGTTGAGTAAATCTAAAATTAAAGGAAGTTACTTTGCAGATTCAGAATCCTACGAATCCTTTCTCTGACAGACTTTTCACAGCAGACCAGTGTGCTGAATCCTGTTGGACCAGAAAACAACGTCTATCCCTGACAGAAATGTCAAAGGTGTGTGTGTGTGTGTGTGTGTGTGTGTGTGTGTGTGTGTGTGTGTGTCTCTGCTAAGACACAGGCTGACTTGAAAATTTAAAAAAACACCAAACCGGGTTATGGCTTTTTTGTTTTCAAAGATTGTGGTAAACTGTCATGTGAGTGTGATGCTGGTAAGTGACATCGAAAAGTTTGTTTTAACACCTTGTTTTCCCTCCCTCTAAAGATGCAGAACACTTCCTCTCTGTGGGTGTCATGTTGCCCACTGTGGGTGCCATCGTCCTAGTCATACTGATCATTTCCGTGGTCATAATCTATAAATATAAGTGTCGCAGAGCACAAGGTCTGTTGAACGAATGTGTGCACAGAACCATGCATTATCTACACATGTGCATGAAGAGCATGTTTATTTATTTCTCTCTTCATGCCTCAAGGAACCAAAATCCAAGAGAAGAGGAACCAAACCAAAGTGGCAGGAGTGGAGGAAGTGATCGATGTGGCAGATGTAAGGAACTGAAAGTCCAAACATGTGCTTTTGGAAATTATGATAAAAAGATATGATGACTGAAAAGAAGTTCTAATCATAACTGTATAGACACACACACACACACTCTCAGAAATGAGAGGAGATTCATACACCCACACACTCTTATGGGAGGAGACACAGAGATGAACATGAAACAAGGAACAAACGTTATAACATAAGGCATTTATGCTTAATAACATGAGTCTAACATTCCTCTTTTATCTCTATATTTTGCTCATGCTTTTTTAGATTTATGAAAATCAAGGCGCTGCAGCTTGCTCAAAGCAGGAGACCTCCAAATGGCACAGCTCCTGTCACCAGAACGACAATGATGATGTGTACCAAAACTGCTCTACAACAGAAGATATGTACTGTAACCAGTTTTACTTGAAGACAGCCAAGAGATGAGCAGCATGGGAATGAATTAACCGAGTCCAGAAGTTGTATATATCTTGTATATCTTGTAATTATAAATCTGTGGATAACCATTTCACTAGAAATACCTAGTTGTAAGTTAATATGTTAACATGTGGTAGTTAATGTTATGTATATGTATCTCAGACCTTTTCTGTCATGCCTCCCCTTGGAAGAGGACTCCCCCACCCCCCAGTTCACTATGAAGTATTGTGTGTAAACAGAGGAATCAGTTGCACTTTCCTTTTCTATATTCACCAATCATATCTTCTTCAAATGCTACCATTAAACTATCTAAGAGATTTCATAGCCCTGTCTATTATTTTTTACTTAAAAGGTACAACAACAAACGTGCAACTGTTACATCCTCTAAGCTTGTTTCTTTGAGCACTCAAGGAGAAGATGTAAATCCAAAGTCACAATTTCTAACGAAAGGAACTGTCACTTTGACAAAACAGAGAAAGCTACAAGCAGCTTGTTGTAACACAGCCCAAATAGTAAATTGTATCATGACCTCCCTTTTGACAAGGCAAATAGGTAATCATTGTTTAAGATACGGCTTGGCACCTGGGATGGCCAATCAGATTTCAAGGAGGGCCCAGGCGGACGATTGGGCAGATTTGATAGGACAGTGGCTAGAGTAGGAAAACGGCTGTGCTAAAAAAAAGTGCTATACACTGCTGTTTGTGGGAAACAATGACTTTACTTGTTCACATGCAGTAACAACCACTTCCTCTGTGAGAAGCGGTTAATTCTATTCTATTCTAAAAGATGCTTCAGCCTCTAAAAACCTTGGGTTCAACCTCTGTAGTAAGGGTATCTGCAACCTTTTGAAAAAAAAAATTCAAGACAACATCATCAGCTACAAACTAATAATTTGGCTAAGTTTGAATACTTTTCAAACCTTGATTAAAAAAAAAGATTAAAATTGAATATTGTTTGTTTTCTTCTTTTCTATGAGTTTGCCTGAGGGATCCCCAAGAGGTTTTATATCATCATCATTGTGAGTCCAATTTAAACTGTTTTGTTATTCCCTTGTAACACAATCCATCCTTTGAGTCACTTGATCCAGAGCGTCTGTCTGAGCTGCTCCTGCCAACATGTGTAACCAGGTAACACAAAACAAACAAACAGCCCGATCTGCTGTGGGACTGTGAACTCTGCACCTCTGGAGCTACTTTTGATTCTTTGATAAACACACAAATTCAGACGAGAAAAGTCCTTTGTTTTTGTTTTTAATCATCAAAAATGAGCTCAGATGTGTTGGTGTCCAGGCCACACTATGACGGTAGAGCTGTGGCTCAGGGGGTCCAAGAAAAGGACCCTCCAGTACAGCTGGAGGTCCCACAGCCATCCTCGGGCTCAGCCACAGCAGGGTACCGGTCCGCTAAATACACCCCGCTAGAGTGGTTCTCCAACTACCACACCATCCTTCAGCAGGCAGGAACCGACCGATATCAAGCCCAGAGCATCCAAAGAGAGTCCAAAAGTCTGTACCAGGACGCTGAGTCAGCCACTCTGAGGACCCAGGCTGAGGGAACCCGTTTTCTAGGGGACAGGCTACAAGAGATCCACCACTGGAAGTCAGAGCTGCAGCGGCACATCGAGCAGCTGCTGGCTGACACTAAAGCACTGCAGGGGCTGAAGACAAGGCTGGAGAAAGCACTGGACGCCACTGAGACGCCGTACGCCATCGCAACAGATAATCTGAACTGCAGGGCAAGAAGACTGGGACCAGACCTGGTCAGAGACTCTGTGGAGGATGAGCTGCTGAAGGTAATCAGTAAAAAAGATGAGACAGGGCATCACTTAGAATAACCTCTTAACATGACATTTAAAAAAAATCACAATATGAAGATGCAATGTGACAAACAAAGTGACACATCCAAAAACACACCAATTTAACTGATAATGAAAAGGATACATACAAAATATAAAAAGAATACAAAGATGACTGTGTAGAAACTGTGTTTAAAACTGTTAAATACTGAACTTAATAATTATAGGAGCGAAACGGCAACCCCCGGTCCTGAAAAATGAAAGCCAATGCGGAAGTCACATACCAAAGCCAAAATAGCCATTTTACAGCATCAATGAACAAGAACATTATTTGTTATTGTCCTCAAGGGCAGACACTGCAGGGGGGGTGAAGTTTTTTTTAAACGGCTCTGTTTTAATGAAATTCCGTTTGATGAAAAATACTTGTTATCCATAGTAACACCTGTCTGCTTACATCTGCTGAGCGCGATGTAACGGTTCGTCAAGAGGCTTAAAACCCGCCTCAGCTCCAGCTCTCAGTCTGTCGTTAGGTTGACTGAAAGTTAGGTTGAGACAGGATTTCCATCATGGCGGCTGCTGCCGATGAGCCTCCAGAACCCCCTGTCTTAACAAATGGCTGACATCAAGATTGACTGATTGATGGGGGTTGAGGGAAGGCATAAGAGGGAATAAAACTAGTGTCCAACAATAACACAGCCCCAGCAGAGGGCCCACTCTTACACTAACATGGTTTGGATTGTGTCTCCTGTAGGAAGTGGATTTAATACGGAGCATCCAGGCTCTTCTGAAGAGAACTACAGCTCAGGTCGTCAGTCAGATCAAGTGAGTGTCCAAACCTGTTTGTAGACTATATCCTCTTTATCTTTATAGAAATGAACAATCATCATTGAGAGTGTCTTTGTGTGTGTGTCAGGATGAACGGAGAGGCAAAGCAGACATTAGAGATGGACTGGTCTGATAAGTACCAGGCCTACAACTTTGATGACCACAGTGGGAGATACAGTAACATGAGCCCAGACACACAACACCACCCCAGCTCAGCCGCCATGCATGACCAGTGAGTCTACGTGTGTGTGTGTGTGTGTGTGTGTGTGTGTGTGTGTGTGTAACAATATTGCAGAACAACAAAAATGAATCTCTATTATAGAATATGTGAAAACATACATGGCTTTTATACAATCTGTCCTCTGGTCTGTGTCAGGGTGAGTAACCACACAGCATGGACCAAGTTTACTCAGGACAACCTCTCCAAGGCCTTACAAGAAGAACAGGCCACCCACAATCTCAGGTCAGTGTGTAAAAGCTGCCACAAAATCCAGTTTTATGTGAAAAACAGGATCCAGTCGAATAGTCCTCTATGGTTAGGAAGATTCCCAACTGAGTGTAACGACCCAGAAGTCTTTTAAGCGTCAGCCATGAGGCAAGCAAAGTTTATTTATTTAACACATTTCAGCAACAAGGTATTCAAAGTTCTACATACAAAACATCAAAAGCATCACGCCAAAGGGAGAAAGAGACATTCAAATAGAAAATGTAAAAATCACTAAAACAACATCACAGAGAAAAGGCAAGAAGCTCTGTTGCTTCTTTTACTATCTTATTTAACGAAGGACACGCTGAGCATCCTTTAGGAAAGGAGAGACGCAAAAAAATAACAGACAAAACGAGTCGACTTCAAGTGACGCACCTCTTGACCTTTAATGAAAACAAGCCATTTTCACTGAATCAAACAATTACCGTATTGGTCCGAATATAAGACGACCCTGATTATAAGACGACCCCCGTTTTTCAACACTCATATTTAGAAAAAAAAGATTTGCAGACCAGATCTTGTTTTTATAAAGAACTTTTTTTAAAGAACTTCATTTTATTTGAAAATAACAATATTAAAAACACATTAAATTAAACACCTGATGTATTAATAATTATAATAATAATTAACATACCGTATTTATCGGTATAGGCCTACGGCACTTTTCAAAACAAAGTGTTTCACAAGGGCGAACTATGTACAGTATGATTCAACATTAAAATCGATTAACAATCAAACAATATTATCAACATTTTTAAATAAGAGAGAAAATACAGGCCACATCTTTAACTAAACTAAACTAAAGCTCGTCAAACTTCTCCTCCGATGTCTCCTATTCCTCACACACTATTCCTCTCCTGTGTTCTCTCTCACTGTCATCACTCCCCTGCTCCTCCCAGAGCGCGTCGTGTGTGTTGACATTTAAAGGGACAGGCGAACAATTAAAGCTGCGCTCTGAATACTAGACCCCAAATAAAAGACGACCCGACTTTTTCGGACCTATTTCGATGGGGAAAAAGGCCGTCTTATATTCGGACCAATACGGTACTTTCATATAATCATACTTATGGTTCATGCGGATAAATACGAGAGGAGAGGAGGGGGAGCATGGAGGTGTTCTCGATGTGTCACCCTGTCGCCTTACTTAACTGATTTATTTAGCACCAACCTTCAATGACTCAATCTATTCAATAATTCAAACTGTTTTGGGGCCCCAACTTTGAGATCATACAGATCAGTGCAGTTTAACCAATATGAGATGAGATGTCTGCTGTTTTTTCATGACATTAAAGACAGCCTATAACACAAGTACTTTTGGTCCCATCACAATTAAGATAATACTGTGTAAGATAGGATTATTGTCATTACAAAACGCTTCACTCATTATGTATGAACTGATAGTAAGACAGGACCAGTGTAGACTAATGGGTGGTTTCACACCAGGGACCATGGGACATGTGGAAGTAGGAAGATGGCCGTTGTTGGAGTCTAAGAATGCACAAAAAATGTCACAGTTAACAAGATGGACTCAGCCCTCAAGTGGTTGCCATGGTTACTTCTTACTCTTTTTGCTTCTTGGCGGATTTGCTAAACCAAGTATGTGCATACTGCTACCTGCTGTATCGAACTGTGCAAAAGCTAAAAGCTGCCTCGTCGTGATTGGCTGTTCTGTTTGATAAACTTCATAAATCCTCAATGAGGTCATATTCATAACAGTTTCCACGTTTAATGGCTGCATTTAACAACACAGTGAGAAGGCACTGAGCAGATAGCTGTGCTGTTTGTAGTCCATCTTCTGGAGTTTGTAGTTTTTACACAGCAGACCCTCGTGCCATCTGTAACATCTGCGGTGTAAGTGAAATCAGATTCCCTTATCACTGCGGCCATCTTTTTCATCTTCCATCCTCGTGATGTTTTTCATCGAGTTAAAGGAAAAACGGATTGAAAGAACTTTAGGGAGTATTCTTTTACTTTTCGAGCCATGTTTGATGTTTTCAGTAAAAACACAGTGGTGCTGTTTGTGTGTGTGTCAGATTGCTGGTGGAGCGTGTGCTGCAGGACACCACAGACGACCTGAGAGTCCAGTGCTCCAGCGTGAACCGAGCCTTCAGCCTTCGCTGTGAGGAGCTGATCGAGGCCAGGACCCAGCTGGAGATGAAGCTTGCACAGGTAGACAACAAAAACAAAGAGTTATGGGTTTATTTTGAATGGATTCATGTTCTATCTATCGTGTGATTGTGTTTAGATCTTGGAGCAGATCGGGGCCCAGGAGAGGAACATTGTATCCCTGCAGCAGGCCATCCACAACAAAGAGGCCCCACAGAGAGTCGCCCAATCCAGGCTTTACCTCCGCTCCCTCAGACCCAACATGGAGCTCTGCAGAGATGAACCCCAGCTCAGGTACACACAAACACACACACACACACACACACACACACACACACACACACACACACACACACACACACACACACACACACACACACACACCATGTCTCATCTGATTCTATCTCTAACTTCTTCTTTTTTGCCTCCTGCGCGTGTGTAGTTTGGAAGGGGAGGTGCAGCAGATTGATGCCACTCTATCATCTCTGCACCAGCAGCTGAGTGAGGCCAGAAGCTCGCTGGCCCACCTGGAGGAGTCACGCGTTACAGTTGAGAAAGACATAAACTGTAAAACCCACTCGCTGTTCATCGAGAGAGACAAGTGCATGACTCACCGTAAACGATACCCAACCGTCTCCACGCTGTCCGGTTACTGAAGACCAGAGTCTGTGCAAAGTTGCATTTGGTTTTGCGATATTTTACAATAGGTTAAAGTTTTAAAAATAAAAGATAATGTATTCTCTTGGATCTGTAAGATAATCTCTTATCAAGAAAGTGTGGAAAACAACTACAGTTATGATCACACTCACACATTCATAAAACCAGTGTGGGGTGGAAGGTCCACAAGGCGGAGCGGCAGCAAGGTGTCTGTGTTTACAGTATACTGCATACGCAAAATCCTGCAGTTTGTCGAGGGTCCACAAGAGGCTGGCTCCAAGAGCCCGGAAGTCACATACACACCACATTTAAAAAAAAGCCTGTTTTAACAGCAGAAATCAACATTTTGACAGCCTGGTACAAAAACGATCTTTGTCTGATTAGTTCTTGTTCTCATGGGCACACACTTGTACAGGGGTGCGTTTTTATTATAACTCATCCGTTTTGAGTCTATGAACGATACGTGTTATTCATAATTAGGAGCGAGGCTGACATGATTGACAGGTGGGCGCGATGTAACGGTTCATCAAGAGTCTTAAAACCCGCCTCAGCTCTCAGCCTGTCGTTAGGTTGACTGTAAGTTAGGCTGAGACAGGATTTCCAGCATGGCGGCGATGAGCCTCCTGTAGTAACAGATTAGATGATGTCACTCAGGCTTCCATGCCATTATTATTTACAGTCTATGGTATTCACCTAATGACCTTGGGCGTTATTCCTGTTGCTTTACTGATTTACATGATTGATCAACAAGGAACAAGAAAACTAGACAAAACTGTGAAGATAGATTGATGATAAAATAACGACTGCACAAGTCATTTTACAGATTGATGGCTAAATAGTTCTCTTACAGGGCTACTTCTAGGATCAGTAGTTTTATAAGTAAATCATGCAGCTGATATAAATACATAAGCTGGTATGCAGAAGCACTCATCTCATGACACTCAACCTTGTACTACAGATGAACAAATAGGAGTGCTGTGCTCTGGTTTGTAGTTAAAGTAAGCAGGATATTTTGAAGGCGATAATTAAGGGACAAATGCGTCCCTCAATGACAGACCTTGGTCACCACTGTGCTCGCTGCTCAATTTATGTAGGCAGAATTGTGTTTAATTAGAGTAGATCTCTGGCTGCTGCAGTATAGGACGATGATTTACAGCCGCTGTGGGGATTTTTATAAATCTAGAAAAAAGAGGAAACATAAGTGACAGTAAAGCTGGCTTGTGTCACAGCATTGACTCACCATAGTTCCAAAATCTATTTCTTATTTAGCTTTTTTTCTCTAAGTTATGACCGCAATAAGATAACTAAAATTGTCTGAATAAATGAACAAACATTCAGAATTCCTTTCTGGAAAAAATGTGGAGTCTGTCTCAAAGGCCCCTCTCCCCCCTTCTGAATGCGTAGAATGGTTTAGTCATAGTCATGGAAATTTTCCAGGTTAGTTTGGGCCGTGGTATGGGCCCAATGTGATATCTTTTCACGGGGCCCAGAGTTCCTGGCGGCGCCCCTGCTTACAGCGAGGAGGTTGTTGGTTTGAATCCCAGTCGGACAGGAGTCTCATTGTGTGGAGTTTGCATGCTCTCCTCGTGCATGTGTGGGTTCTGTCTGGGTTCTCCAGCTTCCTCACACGGTCCAAAGACATGCTCGATAGGTTAACGATCAGTCCAGGTTGTACCCCGCCTCTCGCCCAATGGCATCTGGGATCAGCTCCAGTGGCCCGCGTCCCCGAACAGGAAAAAGTATAGATAATGGTTGTGTAGATTCTGATATTATAAGACCTCTGTGTCTGTGCACCATTAAAAGCATGCAAAATTTGTCTTTTCTTTTTAATGTTCATGTACCAATGTGTGCATGAGGAAGCCAATAGACAAGAACTTCAAATGATGACAAGCTTTATTTATTGGTTGAAACAGTTTTGTTCCTCTTACCTCCCCACACTTCACTTCTCATTGACCTGAATTGGCTAAAGAAAGAATTGGATTCTTCTAACATGCTTCAGAACGTACTGCAGAGGGCTTTAAGGGGTCCACATCTTAATGTTACTGTAAGTTAACACTTAGCGGTTAAAGAGGAAGTGAGTTAAGATAATCTTTATAGATTGTATGATGTTCACAGAAACAGCCACGTGTGAAAGGTGAAAAGAAAGGTGAGAAAATGACTCCCACAGCATGTGACGTCAAACACGATCTTTCATAAGTTCATACATCAATGTCCTCGGCTCAAAGTTTCACACTTTAACATCTCAGGGTCACATGGTCAATCCTTCTCATTTCTCATAAACATCTTCCCGTGTTTGTATTCAATTTATAAGTCAATGATTAAGCCGACATACCTGAATATGAAAGACTTATATTCAGAGACATGTGAATAAACAGAACATAAATATGAACATAACTGGCTTTTCTTTGATTATTGCACTAATCCTGTTTTGTGACCAAATGAATAAAAGATCTTTTGTCCTTCAGTGTTTATTTTAAACTATTTGGAATTTACAATGCATTCAAGTAAAGCTGAAGTGATTCTATTTTGGAAGCACTCGGAAAACGACTATTTTTTTTAACTTTATTTTATTTTTCATTTTAAATAAAATTACCAGAGATTTCACACTTCCAGCTTTTAAAAAGAAAATAGAATCAACGGCTTCACTTTAAGGATTTCTTTTCATCATCTTTTTTAAAATAATTTGGCTTTTCTGGATTTTGTTTGGTTGCACAAAAACAGGATACGACAAAATTGCCTTTTTTTCCTGAAATAATACACACCAAATATTACAAAATGATTGAACTTGTATGTCAACATGACCTCCAATTCAATATTAGAGTCATCAATAGTAACCCATTGATTGGAGAGAAAACATATGGGACTATTTAGAGCCACAATAGTCTGCCAGTTATGTCACGCGCACCATGTATGGAGGCTCTAGTCCACACTGCGGCCCTTTGCTGCATGTCATCCCCCCTCTCTCTCCTCCCAAAATGTACTGTCTCTCTTCATCTGTACGATCTAATAAAGGCAAAAATCACCCAAAACATATCTTTGAATGTGGGTAGATTTTAAAAGTGACTTGTTTTTGGCAACAGTTTTTAGATACTTCACACCTCACTCTTCTGCTGCGACACTTTTGTGATTTTTTTTCACTTCTATTTTAACTCCAGCTCTTGACAGATTTATGTGTGCAAGACTTAAAGCTACTTGTCGGCAGATCATATTCAAGTTGATTTCAAATGGGTTTGTAATTTGAAAAGGGTTAGGGTTAGGGAGTGAAACTTAACACTTAACACAACAATGATGACGGATGTTTCAATGGGAATTTCCTTGCATCAAAGTTGAGGAAAATCAATCAAATAAATTGACCTTATTTTGTTCAATACATGGTTTGATTAATACTTATCATCACATTCATAATTCAATTCAAAAAGTTATCCTGAACAATGTAACAAGTGATGTTGAAAATTAGGCCAATGCAGAAGTACAAAAACTGCAGTACACACTACAGTGTCCACTTGAGTCTGGCCGCAAAAAGCCCCCAAGACACATTCACACCCAAGTTAAAACGATCATTTAGTAGTGCTGATGGCCAATAGCGGTTGAGTTGCACCCGTGTACTGAGATTTTTGGGCTTTTTGTGCCTTTAATGGAGAGATAGGACAGTGGATAGAGTTGGGAATCAGGGAGAGAGAGAGTGGAATGACATGCGGGAAGGAAGCCACAGGTGGGATGTAAACCCGGGCCGCCCGCTTGAGACGACAGCCTCCATACATGGGGCGCGCACACTAACCACTGCACCACCAGCGCCCCCGCACCTGTGTACTGAGGCTACAGTCTTACATGCAGACTGCCAGGGTTGAAGTCTCTCTCTCCTGGTTTTATTCTTCGTCCACTGTTCTATATCTAAATAAAAAAGCAAAGCCTTTTTGACTGCAGGAATAAACATGTTTTCAACCAGAAAACACATTTAGTCTGAATAGCTCATGTATTTGTCATTACACACTGTCAGGGGAATTAATGTTTTTGAATTTTTTGAATTTACGACGAATAACCGTTAGGGGCACGGTTGACCTGACTGACAGGTGGGTGTGTTGTAGCTTTTTGCCAGGAGTCTTTAGACCCATCTCAGCTCAAACACTATGCCTGTTGCTTAGTTAAATTAAAATTAGTTTGAGACAGCATTTCCAAAATGACCACTGACTCTTATCGTTTTACAAAACTCTGCTTCAGAAACCAGAGGGTGACGTCACCGAGGCTGCGTCCATGTTTGATTCAGACTATGGTTTTTAAATCTAAATGTTAGCCTTACAGTGGCACACTGGCTGTGTAATACATAAGTGTGGGATGAAAGATTCACTGTTCTTGAAGCTGTACTGCCTCCACAGTGTCCATTTTTACCCTTGTTTATTTACTGTATGATCTGTCACTCAAAAGTCTCCCAGCATTATGAACATGTGGTTCAACAAGAGTACTCCTTATGTGCAGCCTTACTGACTGTATTTGTTGGTCTTTCTGAATTTGCATCATGTTTCTTTAAGCTGTATTTTTTTTACGGGTGTTTTCGTCTTTCCCTTTGTTTGATCATTTTAAGAATAGTTTTCTCATAGAGACATCTGAAATTTCGAGTTTAAATAAAGACACGATAATATCCATCACACTTGGACAGGTTGTTTGTATTTTGTCCATTTATTCTGGCTCTAATTTTCTTTAACTCCACTAGAGGGAGCTTTTGAGCCTCACAGTATCTGATCTCCTGTCAAATCTGATTTCTGAGAGGTGCCTTTCATTACAAAAGCAACATATATTAACATGCATGTATGAATTACATGTGTAGGAATATTAATATGGAAAGTATTAAAATATAAAAATCAAGTAAGTTCAACATGCGTGACATAGATATTGACATATGTAAAACCAGCAATCCATAACAAGTCTTTCTTCTTCCTCTCTGCTTTGCTGCACTCATACCTGCATGATAACGAATAGTAAATGGACTTGTATAGTGCTTTTATAGTCTTCTGACCGCACACAAAGCACTTTAACACACATTCACCCATTCAAACCACATTCCCACACTGATGGCAGAGGCTGCTATGTAAAGTGCCCAAACTGCCCATCAGATCTATTTCATTCACACGCATTCATGCCCCACTGGCGTTGCGGGGGGAGCAATTTGGGGTTCAGTGTCTTGCCCTATAGACACTTGAACATGTTGCTGCAGGCACTGGGGATCAAACCCCCAAACCTCCAGCTGAGAGACCACCGACTCAACCAACTGAGGCATGCACAGAATAGAACCGAAGTTATACAATGAAAAGAAGCTAACTAATAAAAAAAGGGTTCAAATGAAAGGAAACACATCCCTGTTTATCAGAAAAGGGAGAGGCTTGCCCTTTAAACACAATTAAAATAAATCACTCATTTTTATTTGGCATATATGGCATATTTTCTGTAGCATTTGAAAGCTATATAACCTCATCTTTTGTAACCTCTGCTCCTCTTCATTTGAACAGGGAGCCACGGTCCGTCTCTATTCTTAGAGAGAGCTGCCTTTCATTGAGGAGCTGCCACGACTCAGGATGTTATGAAACTGAACTCTCTGCAGAGATGAAGAGTTCAGACGGGCTCCGATCTTACGAAAACACTGACTGTGGGCATGGGACTTTGCCAGCCTTGTTTGTGTGTGTGTGTGTGTGTGTGTGTGTGTGTGTGTGTGTGTGTGTGTGTGTGTGTGTGTGTGTGTGTGTGCGTGTGTGCGTGTGTGCATGTGTGTGTGTGTATTCATGAGCTTGTGCATTTGTACATACGATTTTACCATTTAGTGTTATAAAAAAAACACACACCCTGTCTTCAGACATCAGAAGGGGAAAGTGGGTTTCCTTCCTAATATTAAGACCCACAATAAGATCAGACAATAGGCACAATTAGATACACCATCCAATACACAAACGTAATTTTTAAATTACATGGAATCAGGAGCAAAAAGGACCCTCGTCATATCATACTTTGTTATAGGCTGAGCTCACATGTCTCGTGTATCCTGAGCTTGTGTGGTTTGATTTGAACACCCTGTTGCTGTAGAATTAAAACAAGTGTTAACAAGCCTGTGTTGGTATGCACACATTATGACAGCGTCAACTCAATCATGCTCGTCTGATTGACAGTGGAAGAGACATTGAACTCATTTATAATGTCCCGATTTTCCGTCTTAAATGTATTTCAAGGTCTACTTTTCTTTTCTTGATAGGGGATGGAAAGGACAAATGCAACCCAGGAAAAAGGAGGAAAAAATAAGTTGCATAAATGAAAAAATGGGAGGGATGGAGAGGGCAGCAGATCTGAGGGAGTGACAGAAAAAGAAAGAAGGAGGGAGAAGAGGAGAATAGAGGGACAGCAGGACCAAACTCACTGCCTTCTTTTCCTCCAGTGCTCTGTCCCTTCTTTCTCTCAGTTACTCCAGGCTGAGATCAACAGAGAGGTGAGTTCAACTCTAGCATTTTTTTTTTTTTTTACTCTTCTTCATCCTTTACTTCCATTTCTGTCTCACATCATCTTCTTCCAAAACTCAAGATTTCATCCAGGTGAATTCTGAGCTCACCCACTCTCATCTCTCCTTTGAGAATCTTAATCCATCCATACTTATAGCTTGTAATTCACACAATTGTTTGTAAAACTGCATGTCAGCATATGAACAGCAGAATTTGGACACCTTTCCAATAAGGTGTCCCTCTCATCCTCCAGATCCGCTCTCCTCCTGCACCTTATCTTTAGAAGAAAAGGTTTAAAGGGCTGCTGGTCCAAGCATAAATTAATCATTACTCATTAAACAAAATGTCTCTCACACTCGCAGACCCGCTGCTTTATTTATGTGTGAGAACATTTTTATAACTGTGTTTATTTGCTTTTGTGTCTGTTGGCTAAAAGCATGCAGCTCAGTTTGAGGGTTTGCGGAAAGCCAAAGTTTCCGTTGGCTGGATGGAGAGACTACTTTTAGCTCGGGTTATTACTCCCTGTGCTCTCACTGGTTCAGACTGACCGCCACGTTTTCACAATGTTTCTCAAGCCTTTAACTGTGCCATAAATGACTCTGATTATTTTAACGGATAATAACATCAATCAAGCTTACCTTTTTACTGCGGAATGTCCCGGCACGGCTAGAAGCGGAGTTTCTAATTATATGTTTTGTCAGAGTTTGGAATGTGATTTGTGTGTTTCATGGCTTTGTTGGATTTTTGTGGCTACATGTGCGTTTATATTTAGGGGCTCCTTCTTTACGTGCATCCTCTCTTTTAAATGTACTGTTTATCTTCTCTTTGTGTAACATCACACTGGTTCTGTTCCTTCCGTTTTCTTTTTGTAACAGGATGCTGCGCCTCAGCTCCCTGTCCACACTACTCCTTCTGCTTCAACTCTTCCCTCCTCCGCTGGCTGCCCAGGAGGTGCTTGTGCGTCTAGCGGGCGTGGGCCGGCGAGGTGAAAACGAGGGACGTGTGGAGGTGTTCTACAATGGTGCATGGGGCACAGTGTGTGATGACGAGGTGGATCTAAACCTGGCCAATGTGCTGTGCAAACAGCTGGGCTTCCAACGGGGCCTCACCTGGGCGCACAGTGCCAAGTTTGGCGAGGGACAAGGTATGTTCAGCCAATGATGTTTAATATGTGAACAACTTAATCGTGAAGTTTCTAAATCGTTTGATTCACCGATTTATCGCTCCTTCCTGTTAGGCCTGATCTGGTTGGACAATGTTCGCTGCAAGGGCACAGAGCTCTCTATTGCAGAGTGTCGCTCCAATGGTTGGGGAATCAATGACTGCACCCACTCGGAGGACCTGGGTGTTATATGCAGTTCACAAAGGAGAAGTGGCATCCCCGAACCAGCTTCTTCATCCTCCAGGCGCCAGCCAAGGCCACAGTCTGTGTATCCTCCAGCTCCACCTTCAGCCCCAGCTTACATCTCCTCGTCTCCTGCAAGAGGCCACGAGATCGCACTCAATCGCTACCCAACTTCCTCACGTCGCAGTTACTTATCCCCGCAGGAGAACGGCCATGAGATCCAGATCTTGCGAAGAAACCGCGGTGGCTCCAGACCAATCTTGCAGCCTAGCCCAGCTCTACCTCAAGGGCACCAGCTACCTTCACATCTGGCAAACTCAGCCTACAGGCAGAGGCAGGAGACAGCGAGGCCCAGTCCACAGACAGTGAGACGGCAGGCAGAGGTAGAGAGGCAGTCCCAAACCCGGAGGAGTGACAGACATCAGCAGCTCAGTGGGAACCATGTTGAACCAGAGCCTGTTTATCCAGACACGGGACTGGAGACTAATGCACAGTACACACAGGTAATGAAAAAAAAAACACACACAGAGACACACAAAACTTCTAGAAAAGAGCAAAGAAGTGGTTCACTCCAGCTTTATTCAAAGTCACATGAATAAATACCCTTTGTGGAGCCACAGGCCAGTGAACATCTATAATTTGAGACAAACCTTAAACAGGACCTTCTTAAGATCCAGCAGGATATAGGCTTTGGGTTTAGAAGACATCCCAACCATGAAAATATACGGCCCAACTCTTCAAATGAAAAGAAACCCAGATCAAAGGAAATCGCAAGACATTTACGACTTATGTTTGTTTTTTTTCTCATCAACATCCAGAGTTTTAGTTTCTTTAGCATTTCGTAATCATCCTGACACCACTCCCTATACATTAAACAAGCCATTAGTTTCCTTCCTGTTGCCGACGGCACACTATATAGATGATTAGAGAGTGTGATGATTAAAGAACAAGCATGCCATCTTATCATGGTAATCTTCTCTCTTTTGCGTGCTGTCTGCGGACATAAAGTCAAACAAAGTCATGTTTATTGTCTCAAGTGAATCCTGTTTTATTGTGCATGCAAGCTTGGTTGATGCATGTTTAGATAGAAGGCTTCAAAAAGTGAAAGAGGCCGTGTCTATCCTGTGGGCAAGAACAAGTTAAAAGAAGTCCTTTTTTTTATTTTGGGGATAAAGAAATTCCATAAAGTGTTGTTAATCAGCTTTTTGTTTTCTTGTGGACAGGGGTCTGACAGGGTTCACTTAGAGGAGGCTCGACTCCGGCCAGTGCTGTCCAGCAATAATGGCAGGATGGTGACAGAAGGAGTTCTTGAAGTGAAGCATGCTGGGAAGTGGCGTCATGTGTGTAGCCAGGGATGGGATCTCAGCAGCAGCCGTGTTGTCTGTGGCATGTTAGGATTCCCTGCCGCTGAAGCGTTTGACCAAAACGCCTACAGGTGAGTATGTGAGAGTGGACACGGCAGAGTAAATAAGGAGGAAGGAGACAGAAAAAGAGTGTGAGAGTGTGTGTGTGTGTGTGTGTGTGTGTGTGTGTGAGTGTGGTTATGAAAAGGATGGAAAAGTGTGGTGGACTGCACATCCCTTCAAGGGTTAGACAGCCCCTTGCCTGGATAGTTGTTCCGTCCCCCCTGTAGTAGAGGTTAACCACAACTGCTGTCATTAGTAAACCCACATTTGGCCTAACTTGTCCACTGTGGCATTAGCCGAGCCCGCCTGGCCGCCAAGCCTGTCTGTCCCTCTAACTGAGTGGGCCTCAGCGGAGACCTTTAAAATAGTCTCAGAGTATGTCATTAATGTCAGATCCAGACTACAAGATTATCATCATCATCTTCATCATGGTGTGTGTCTTTTCATGAAACCTCCATTACATGGTTTCAAATCCTATAATTAAGAAATCCCCCCCAGTGAAAACTGTGTGCAGCAGCACTTTCTAATGTGGAGTGGAATGTCTGAAAGTCTGAGGACTCACATCTATCCATCACAGGGACTTTGCTATTTGATCTCTCAGTACATCTCTATCATAGACTGTAAAGAACACAGACTTAATGTCAGTGATGTCACCTTTTGGTTTCTGAAGAGGCATTATGAAGCCCAATGATAGCCGTCATATTGGAAGTGGTGACTCCAACTTACTTTAGATGCAGGCAAAGAGGTGAAGTTATCGTGGTTGCTGAAACATGGCTAACCTGCCATCTAGCTAGCATACTCCAAACGATCAATCAATCAATCAATCAATCAATTTCTATTTGTATAACGTCAACTCATAACAAGTGTTATCTCAAGACACTTTCCAAAAAGCAGGTAAAAGACCTTACTCTTTGTTTTTGACAATGACAATGACAACCAAATGAACAAAGTCAACAGTGTAAGGATTAATGCAGTTTAGCTAAAGTAGCCTGCTGGCAAACAGCTACAACATGCCTCCCTGGAAATCAAATCAGCCATGCCCCTTTGTATGCAAAGGTATACATAACAGTTAGCCTTAATATAATCAAAATGGATTGGTTGTACAATAATTCTTCCTGTTCATTATCAATAATTAAATGAGCTCTAAAGGCAAAAAATATTTTTTGAACCAAACTGTAAACATGTTTATTTATGCTGTAAAAATGGATATGTAATATGGGCTATTCCTTGGTTTTTTTGACCCAACCTCATGTTACCAACCACCCATACAGTTTATCTTTATGTGGACATTTAAGGAACTGGCTTCATTTCACTGGTTCATTTCACTGGTTGCTGCTTTGTTGCTACCAAAATCCTTAGTAAATAATTATTTAACAAGGGTGAATGACAAATATACATTTTCATTTTTATATCCCTTACAAGCTAGCTAGCATGTTTTCAAGCAATAGAAACCAAAAAAAACAAAAATGTTAGCTAGCAAGTAATAAAGTCCTTGATGAAAATGTAGTTTACAATATTGACAGAAAATCCCCATGGAACCCAATGAGAAGCAAGACCTCAACTCTCTGTGTTATATTTTTTGAATGGCTTTTGTCCCTCACAGATTTAATCATTTACTCAACTAATAATGTCAGGCTGCTGTGCTGATGTTGTCTTGATAAATCCATTTCATAAATCCTAAATATTAACTGAAGCACCAACACAAAACTTCAAAGCTATTACATACATACCCAAAAAACCAATCCCTCACTAACAAACAAATGCTAATGCATACCTACCTCAACCCTCATGGTACAGTTTAATACGAGACCTCACGGTTCATATGCGATCCATGTGCACACACAAATAAACACACGCGCTTGTTCAGACAAGAACACAACCGTCTATGTGTGTCGTCTGCCCACAGAGGTCTTTTTATGGCTCGGCTAACAGGACGACTGTACTGACCACTGGCCTGCCCTCCACCATCTGTCCTGAATGGTGCCAATAATTACCCCTTGTGTTCTGCTCTGCTCAGCTCCTCTCCAGGCTGCTTCTCCTCAGCTGCCCTGTTTACCAGCTTGGCCACAGTCTGGTAACAAGACTTCTTTAGAGCCAGTTCAGAGCAACTTTAGATGCAATGATGCGAGAAAATTCCCTTTTAACTAAATATCCAACAGTTGGTTCAAGCTCTATGTAAGGAGCAAAGACCTTATCAAAGATGTGGCCCAGGTCTGGTTGATCATCATGCAAACTTTTTAACTAATGCTAATGTGGACAAGAATACTGAAAACACTTCATGTTGTCTGAAGAAACATCATATTTTGAATCCAAGAACCAAACAAGTCACTTGTGTAAAGATTGGAACAAGCCAGAGAATGTTGTTTGTTTTTTGTCAACCTCCACCCAGCAGCGTGGGAGATGAATGGAGTAGCCAATTTTGTCCGAAGTAAACATCGAAGGCAAGGGGAACATTTTTCTTCCAGAAAGAACCAGCATGAGGTGGATCTTTGGCATCGTGTACCACATGTGTAGCATATTTTGAAGAAGATATTTCTGGTGGACCGTACATTTGAAAAATATTTCCTGAGGTTGAAACTGAGACATATCTTCTCCACTTAACGACAGAAGCTATGTTTGGCCAGACTGGTAGAAATGCTCTAGGTTACAGTGTTTCTCTGCTCTGTTGGTCAGTCAGTCCACCAGTTTGGTTCTAACTGAAAAACAAACAAACATTGGCTGCATATATTCAATACTTTAGAACAGAGACTATGTTACAAAGAGGATGAACCACCCATGGTTATTCTTTGAATTTTCCTCTAGGACCACTGTGGGTTTCCCAACAACTAATTAATCGATTTTCATGGCGTATTGTACAAACATAGACACATTGGTGACTGTATCCCAAAAGCTATCAGCTATCATCTGACTAAGATTTAGCCCCTGTTAGTGAGTGCCAACCTTTTGGGGCTCTGGTGAAGCCAGCTGTAAAGGAATTCCTCCTTTGCTCCTTTGCTCTCCAAACAGTCTGTTTCAGAGACAAAGCCTTCAAGGTTACCAATGGATGATAGATTACAACAACCAAAACACTCCTAACACTTTTAAATGATGAATCTTTAAATAGAGACTTGTTATCTCCTGATTATTACTTTGATGCTACCATCAGGTTGAAGTTTTCACTTTCACAATGGATTATCTCAGAATTTTCTGGATAAATATCCTCAAAATCTGGCACTAATAAGAATAATTTACAAACAATGTATTATCCTGACTTTGGAGATGCCCTGAATATTTCCTTTAAATCCATCACAAGTTTGACATTTGTATTTTTTGAATGAAATACCTTGATAGCTCAACCTCTGTCTGCCTCAATGTATATATGGACCTTCATGGTTCCCAGAGGTTGAATCTTGATGACGTTTGTGATCACTGGTCTCTATGAGTTAAATGCCTCCATTGGATGGTTTGCCTTGAAATTGGGTAAAGATATAATGTCCTCATCTTTGTGAAACTTTAGGATTCCATAATGTCTAGTAACACGTTCTTCAGGTCAAAGTTTTATTTTATCCAATACTTTGTTTAAACTTTGAAATCGAATATTTACTGACGTCCGCCTCACTTGTACAATATGATTAGATGGAAAATATGGCAAACAGTTAATCTGTATTCTTGATAAACATCAAAATGTTAGTAAGAATGTCATTGTGTCAAATCTACCATTTTTACTTTAAGCTAGGTTCAGCCTTCACAGCAGCTCGTGTTTTATGATAATAGTCAAATCTGCTGTTGGTACACTGTGTTGGCAATGGTCAATTCCTGTTCTTCTTCAGAGTTTTCATCCATTGCAACAGTTGCAATTATGGTCTGAGTGATCCTCTAATCAAAAATGTTTTCTCAACTGAATGACCTACAGCACCCTTTGCTGTGTCAGCACTTTTCCCCGTGGCCATGTGGTTGTTTTTTTTTGTGTGTGACTGCCTTTGTCTCAGCCCGTTAAGTTGCTCGGCGCATTTTTACAGATGTTTAAATAGTGTTCTTACAAAAGGCAAGTGTTTAAGCTATTTTCCAGCTCTGTTGTTTCATCACATCGACACTCTCTTTGAGGTTGTAACTTCTTCAGTTCTTCTAATTTACTTTAACCCCCTGCTCTTTTTCGCCTCCTCACTCACAGCCTTTCTAAAATATTTTAATGCCTTTTGGGCAATTATACTAAAACCCACATTTCATGGAAAGTACATCATTATGACCCCTTTACGTTTTCGTTCCATCAAAGTTGATTGGGCCGTCTACAGGTTGTCGTGCAGTCAGTGTGGTAACCTAATGTCTCCCAGGAGGAGTGCGATTGTTCCAGTTAGGCAGCTTTGCATTCATGCAATATAATAACAGGTTATCTGTCGGCTCCTCTCTCCACTGTGGCTTATATTGTGTGGTCAGAGTTGCATAAAAAAATCTGGCACTGAGCTGAAGATCCTGAGAATTAAAACTGTCTTCTCCTGGTTAGAAGAGTGTGGCACTGCTGCAGTCAGAACCTGTTAGTTGTGCCTGAGGCCTGATGCTGTGGTTGATTTCTTTTAAGTCAATTAGAGTTAATTCTCCTTAGAAGACTGAACGAGCCATAACTCAGCTCCAACTTGTGTGCCCATCCTGACAAAGATCTCTCAGCAGGACAACTGAGACGTATCTAAGTGAAATTCAGAAGATTGTTCTTTCTGTGAATTTTAGCGATACTCATAAAAGTCGCCCAGTGCACAGAGACTTCTTCTTACATCACTTTTCTCAGAATTTCCCAGCATCCAGTTATAAAGTTCGGTGACGATGCTGGGGATTTAAAGAGCATTGTTTTTATATGGAGGCAAGGCAGGGAAAGTGGATATGTACGTGCATATTTCCATGTCTGGTGTGTGAACCAACATGCTACTGCTCGACCGCACAGCAGACACTGCCAAGCACAGCAGGCAATTATACGGGTAGCACCCCCCACAACCCCCCTTTCTCCCCTCCTCTCCTACTTCACCACAACCTCCCTATCTCTCCAATTATGACATAACGCTGACTTATGGAATATCTTTCACACTGTACAGGCACATTTCATACAGCTTCATACAATATACCAGTTAAAGAAAAGGTCATGCTTTTAGACGAGCCAAAACAATGGAACAGAAGGAAGGGAGGAAGAAGGAGAAACAGATAAGAAAAAACAGAGTATAGAAAACCAATGTGGAGAAAAGGAAATGATAGAAAAAAACAAGGATGCAAAAGATGAAAGAAATGAAAGAGGAGAGGAAGGAATGAAAAAAAGGAAAGAACAGAAACAACAGAAGGAAGGTAACAAAGAAAAAAGGAAGGTAAGGTAAAGAACTCTATTTAGCACCAACCTGCTCAGCAACAAAACAGCAAGCATGCAGAGATACTGTAGCTGGTGGACATAGTGGAGTACTGTGAGAGTTAGGATTCGACTTACATACACCATAATGGACAGAACCGAATGAATGGCTGTGCTGCCGCTTGTTGACTGAATGTGTGCCAAAAAGATGTTTGCTGAAACTCTATATCATTTTAACACAATCACAACAAGACAAGCAAGGTCATCGTAGATTACACAACTTTAATAAAGCACTTTTCACATACGCATTCTTGAAGATTTCTAGAAAATTTGCCGTCACCCTGCTGCCCCTGAAGTCATCCTGAGTTGGTTGTTCACACATGCACCTTTCCGTGTAGATTTAAGGATGGGGGTAGAGGGGGTCTCAGGAGGCAGGACATCATGTAAACAGAACCAAGCAGACATCACGAAGAAACAAAGGCCAATAAAATGATGACAATTTTCTCCTTTATATCAATGCTACGTGTAATCCCACATATTAACAGTAGGCAATAAACCAAAGAGCAAAGAAGATCATATTGGCGAATAGAAAACAGAATGAAACAGTTTCATTACCGGTGGCATGCCAGTCGCACAGCAGTCACAGTATAAAGCTCATTACCCGCTCCCACTTCCTCACGGTGAATTTTCCTGAATACTTCCTGGTGCACTTTTACATCAGTTTAACTAAACTTCATGTGGAACATTCACTAAGAGGCTGGCTGGATTAATCCTGGGTGAAACATGTGTCTGTTTGCGCTCACACAAACAGAGCAACCAGAAAATATCAAAGGTTTTTAGGAGTTTTGTGCAAATTGTGAACATGATTGTTGTTGCACAATGAGAAAATAAGGAAATTAGTTATCAAAGGAAGCCTTTAGACTCGGCCAGACTGGTGGTCTAAATTACACCCTCAACTGCAGAGTTGCAGCAAACATGACAAAGTAATGATATGCATCAGTGTGAGCTTATCTGAGCGTGGAAAGTTCCCTCTTCTGTGAAAGAAATCCCTTCGCTGTCTGGCCTGATGGTTGATGATTTGCAGTTCACATGTTCCATACAGTGGTTTTTCTGGGTCATAGTTCCTATTGTGGGTTTCCTTACGAGCCCTTCCAGCTCCCAACACATCTCTCATTTAATGTTGCGACTGTGCATCATAGTGGAACAGCAGGATACTGGGGTTCTCCTGGAGAGCAAACATGTCCAGATTTAGCTTTCTCAAGTGTTTAATTGCATCATGACTCTGGGTATACAGTAAGCCCTCCTCCTGTCTATACTTGGTGTCTTGACTCATTTAATTCAGGCACGTTCATGAAGGGCGTCAGTCTCGCTGCACCTGTCTGTGGTCACACTGCCCGATGCAGGCGGTCAGCTCTAATGTGCATGTGTGTGTGTCAGAGAGAGAGACACTTCCCAGACTCTGCCTGGTTTGTGAATCATTCTTTTTATTAAATCCTCCTTTTTTTTTTTTATCCATCGACATGTGGTGTGTGTATTTGTGTCCGGGAGCAGGGGGCCTCACTTTGTGTATGCACTCACTGTTTCCCTCCAGTATTCGACACTACTGTGTACTTTAAGGTAATATCCTTGTAACTCCACACAGTTTAGAAAACCCTGTTGTAGTTGGCAGACCTCAATAGGGCTCCTTGCAGGGATTAATGTATGGTGGCTTATTCATATTTTTGGTTCTTTCCACATTGATGTCCCAAAACCCAGACATCCAGTGTAGACATTTAGACAAACACTGAAACAGAAATACCTGTGAGGCTGTGAATGCACAAATGAAAGGACTGAAAAAAGTCATGACAAGAGGGTAGTGATTTAAGAAAGAAAGAAAGAAAGAAAGAAAGAGTTATTTGATCCCTCATTGTAAATACCCCTCTGTTGCTTATTCGAGAGCTATGTTTATCCAAAAACACACACACCCTTCCCAGCATTTGTTTCTCGGTTTGTTTATTTTAGGTTTGATTGACAGACAAGAGTAGGGATGTTAAGGAAGAGAAGAAAGGATGATTAAGGAGGAGAGAGGAGCTAGAGATCACAGGAGCAGACTGTGGGAGTGTATAGGAATGCTGCTTGTTTAGTCTACTGGATGTACAGATGCACAGTTTGGACACCAAGCAGTGATACTGTCTCTTTTTCAGGAAACTGTGGGACTCCAAGTTGGCTGATCCATCCTCAAGGTAAAATCAAACTTGAGGTGTTAATCTTTATAACATGGGTATAAAAAATGTATTTCAGAAATCAAAACTGTATTACTCATGCTTCTGCACTTCTTTCTCTGCCCAGACTGAGGACACAGATCAGTAAGAAGGCTTACTGGGTGGAAAAGGTGCAGTGTCAGGGCGTGGAGGTCTCTCTGTCGCAGTGTCAGGCACAGCTTTTGTTGCCCAGGAGTGATGTCCCATGCAGGGGTGGCATGCACGCTGTGGTCCGCTGTGTCCCTGGATCCCAGTTTGCCCGTTACGGCAGAGCACCTGCACCCCCTGCTGTGCCAGTGAGTGTGAAAAAATATATAACAAAAATGTAAAAAGTATGGTGCTATCATGCTTTTTTGAGGGACCAGATACTTGTTTTTGTTGCCTTCAGAAATAGACAAAGGCTGTCTCACCTTCCTCTGCCATGTGCTAAGCTAAGCTAAAAACAAACACATGCTCGCTAATTTCCTAAACCGTCCTATCAAAAAGTTGAATTACATCATTTTAATTATGATTATGTGCTTTACTGAAAGTCCATGAATTTAAGTCTATTGTGGTTAAAAGAGTAATAAAAGCATACACAGGCAAAAAAATATCACCAAAGGAAAGCATCAAAGAAAAAAGAATATAAAATACTTTATGAAACTAATAAATATCTGACAGTATATAATTATTCACTCCTTTTCTCCTACCCATCCAGAGTCTGTGTTAGCTTACCAGTTGAAGCTACAGCTAGCAGGTAATACGCGTAGCAGGAGGACTGTTAGAAGAGGCTCAAATGAGATGGTTATGAGCCACATTTCTTTTTCACATTAACTTCAGTGTACAAAGTATGTGTCATAAATTATTGATGAGAAAATATTGAGGCACCACTGACTTTATTTTGTTAACCTTCCTCCAGTAGCTAAGCTAAGCTAAGCTAAGCTAAGCTATACAGATAGATTTGCTAGCTTATTTCAAAGCTGCCAAACTGTCCTGGAAAAAAAAGATGAATTATGACATTTTATCTATTATGGTTGTGTACCAACTTGAATGTGAATGTATTTAATGTAATTGCAATTAAAAAGAGTTACAAGTATAGTAAAGCAAAATATATCGGACACATCCCACAGTCAGTCCTAAACTGGGATATAAAAGAATTACTCTACATGGTAACTCTTGCGCTTCAGCCACTCCACAAATGGAGGTCGGTGCTGTTAGAGAAAGATAATAATTCAGTGGACTCCTTCCCTCAGACAGGAACCAAAGAAAATACAGGAGCACACAAATCACTTAAGGCAGATTTATTTAGATGCAAAGGTCTAACGTTAGCGCAAGACGTAATGTGTCGAAACGTTAGTCCACTGAATTATTTTGAATTGTCCTTCATGTTAGTAAATGCTTACTCTCTTTCTTGTGAAGAGTTATTACACTGAGGCCAGTCTTAAATCTTTGAGTTAATTATAAGGCTTCAACCAGCAACTGGTTAGCTTGACATTTAGAAACCCTTAGCTTGGCTCTGTTTTATTTCAGTAATCTTCAAGCAACTCTAGCTCTGTCAATTAGCAGAATATACATCATTTGTTGGTTTAATGTGGCACATAAAGTGTAAAAATGAAAAATGACAGTTTCTATTTAAGTCATATTTTGTAACCTTAGAAAGGTCGAGAGAGGAGTTTTAAGCTAAGCTAAAACGCTGTGGTTTCAACCATCCTGACTAACTAAGTGTGAGCATAACAGAATTTCCTACACGTGCTCGCAAAAGGAAAAATAGAGATGAAAACAAAATTAAAAACCCCTAAAGACTTACTATCATAAAATTTTTTATTGATCAAATCCCACATCTAACCTACATTCTTCTTCTCTGCCTCCAGCCGGTAGTGCGTCTGAAGGCGGGCCCACGGCTCGGGGAAGGTCGCGTTGAGGTGCTGAAGGAGGGGAAGTGGGGCAGCGTGTGTGACCACCTGTGGGACATTGCTGCAGCTAGCGTGGTCTGCAGAGAGCTTGGCTTTGGGACAGCTAAAGAGGCCCTGACCAGGGCCGGACTGGGACAGGGTAAGATCAGAGGCATACCCTGAGCCACACACATAGTGTACTTTACTTTAAGCCAAATGGCACTTTGAATGTTCTTTTCGGGTGATGCATCGCTTTACTCACCATGACTGGTGAGGTCACAGTGGGAGATGGTTGCTCTATTGTTTGGGAGGATTTCCTTATTCATATAAACATAAAGAGTTAAACAAAGGCCCTGGGTTACTGATCTGATAACCACTTATGTATCATTGCCAAGTTTACCATGCACTATGAGCATGATCAGTTTCGCTCTTTTATCCTTTAGACTAAACACTTAGCAAAAATGTCTGTTGCTAAACGCAGCACTCCAAGAACCATGAGTCCGAGTGGACAAATAAACTCAGAGAAAATGTTTACAGCCTGACTTCTACTTCTATCGGAGAAGCTGACTGTTAAGCACTCTACCCATGACCATCTACAAAAGTATAAACTCTGCTAGGAGGTTCCAGTGACCCCGACAATGGCCTGTGTGGTTGTCAAAATAAACCTGTTGAATGTGAAAACTTAGCGCAGCTTTGAAACCAGGATGTCAGTCCATTATCACTGAGCATGATTGCAAGATTGTGATTACTTGGGCATTGCCTTTTGTTCTGGGAATAAAAGTATAGCCACTGAATTGTGCAGCAGTAACAGTGTTAAACATTTTCCTAGGAAACAGACCCCACTTTCACACACTTAGTTATTGCTTTTTTTTCTAACCAAAGTCCTGCAGTAACTCTGTAATCACGTTCATTTCCTCCCATTATCTTTCTGCACAAATGAGCACATACCATTTCCCTCTCACTACTTTAATTAAGTAATGCGTGGAAAACACTCGAGCGTTCCTTTAAGGCTCTATTAAAGTAGGTGCTTTGGGCCTGTTACGTTTGAATAATGAACATAGTTAAAAGTCAAATTGGAGCTTTATGGCTTACCATGCTCCTCCGGCCATTTTACCAGACTTGAGTGAGTATGTAACAAAGAAGAAGAAATGTGAGGGCTCATAGGTAGGTGCATTAAGTGAAGAGCAGCTCGAGTCGACTTGATGACATCATTAGCTATTTCAGGCCTGATTATAGGGTGTTGAAGGTGCTTTAGCTCGGTCCTCACACACCTACACAAACATCGATGTGTTCAAAGATTTTGGTAGCTATTTTGGTCTGTAAAGCATGCTGCTGAGTATACAGTAATTTAGTCAGAAAGCTCGCTGGCTAAGCTCAGTTTCAGAGCCACATCAGAGGTCCGGCTCATGTCTGGGTTTTTAATCCAACTCTGGTGACATCTGTGGCTGCAAAACCATCAGGTTACAGAGTCTTTAATGTACCGAGTGTGTGTGTGTGTGTGTGTGTGTGTGTGTGTGCGCGTGCGTGCGTGCGTGCGTGCGTGCGTGCGTGCATGCGTCTGCTCTTTGTTGCAAAACTCAAATAATGTTGCAGTCTAAATTCTAGTCCAAACCAGTGGTTCTCAACTGGTCTAGCCTCAGGACACACCACCGACTCCTTAATGTCAAACTGCGACCATAATTTCAGATATTTTTCAACCAATGAGGTATGTCTAATGAAAAAATGTGCAGTTTGGACCTAGGATGGAACAGAACAAGAAGCGCTTCATTTACTTTTTGATCTTCGAGGTACAAATTCATGACCCACTGAAAACGGCTCTGCGGCCCACTTTTGGGTCAAGACCCACCAGTTGAAAACCACTAGTCTAAACTATCTAATTACACTTACTACAAGCCACATTCCCCTGACAAGTCCGGACAAACATCTCATTTTAAGATAAAAAAAAGCAAATAATTATCCCTGAACTTCTTATAGTTAGTAAAAATATCTCCCAATGCAAAAACTTCGATATTTTTAACTGGAACAGACACTTTCTAAGATTAGAGTTTATGCTGTGTGGTTGTCGAGACATTTGAATCTTTTAGCTGTGTTCTTCCCTGCTTAGGTACTGGTCCCATCCACATGAACAGTGTGCAGTGTACAGGCAGGGAGACGTCGGTTACAGAGTGTCACTTCAGACCAGTGCCGCTTTACACCTGCAAACACAGTCAGGATGTGGCGGTCCGCTGCAACGTGCCCAACACTGGCCTGCAGGCCCAGGTAAGTATTACATGAAAACATACACACAAAAACAAGTAGCAGCATTTACTGAATGACAAGAAAGCCCATCTCTCCCTCCTTACCCCTCAGGTTCGTCTGGCAGGCGGCAGAGAGCCATCAGAGGGTCGTGTGGAGGTGCTGATGGATGTTGGAGGGGGGAGACGTTGGGGCTCCGTCTGCAGTGAGAACTGGGGCATCAACGAGGCCATGGTGGTCTGTCGACAGCTGGGCTTGGGCTTTGCTGCAAGAGCTCATCAGGTAAACAGCTGAACATGAGAAGAATATGAAGGTGTTTTTTTTCACATTTCTGATTCAAGCTTTTGTCCTTTGTGCTCCTATATTTCTTTTTCCTCTCTCTCCATCCTACTGTTTGTGTGTCTGTGCTGTGTTATTACCGAGGCCTGAGGTAATTACAGGCTTCTCAAACGTCCACTTCCAGCACACTGAAAATAAAAGAGGGAAAGTGAGGCAAAGAGGGATTGGGAGAAATTCACAGAGCAAACAAACTGAAAATAGATCTGTGCATGGAAAGGGCAGCTTGGAGTGTGTGTTGTGGGGGGGGGGGGGGGGCTGCTGGGAACATTTAACATGCAGTTTGGGAAATGTGAAAACGTGTGGAAAATGTGATAATGTGTACTGATAGTTCATATAAAAAACAGGGTTTCTTTGTTTATAGCAGGGGCTGTTATTTGCATTCAGCTGTGACATTTTTTACATGGTATTGACTTCCCTTATATAGCATGTCGTTCTAGTCTTCTGCCATCCGTTTATTCTGTAATGCAACATACACACAATTTATACACAAGGACAGAGGCTTCACACAAACACAAACACACACACACACACACACACACACACACACACACACACACACACACACACACACACACTCTTACTGATACTAAACCTTTGGGAGACTTTTAGGGTTCAGTATCTTGCACAAGATGCAAAAACACTTATGGATGCAAACTGAAGGAGCTAATCTTTGGATAATTGTCCAACCTGCTCCACCTCATCATATCTGACGGTGTTATTCCCACAACTGTAGAAATCAGCTTCAATTATTCTGTTTCTGTGTCTATGCAGGAAACCTGGTACTGGCCTGGTTCTTCCGATGCTAGTGAGGTGGTTCTTAGTGGAGCTCACTGTAGCGGCACCGAGATGTCTATCCAGCAGTGTCGCAGGAACACAAATGTCTACTGTCCCAGAGGAGGAAATGGCAAGGCTGCAGGAGTCACATGTGTAGAAAGTGAGTCCAAAACTAGCAAACCTGTAGGTGCATTTGTATTCTTTGTGCAATGACGCGGAAATTCACCCTGAGTTGTGACTCCTTTTAGCTGCTCCTGACCTTGTGCTGGACGCACAGCTCGTGCAAGAGACAGCCTACCTGGAGGACCGACCCCTGCACCTGCTGACCTGCGCCAATGAAGAGAACTGCCTGTCCTCCTCTGCGGCCAGGATGAACTGGCCCTACGGACATCGCCGCCTGCTACGCTTCTCCTCCCGCATCATGAACACGGGACGTGCCGACTTCAGACCCCGTGCAACCAGAGAAAGTTGGACGTGGCACCAGTGTCACAGGTAAGACATTTACTAGGCAGCTGTGTCACGAAGAGGAGCCTTCAAGTTTTTATTTGAACCAACAGCTGCTCATTTGAAGCTCTCAGCCAGATGCAGAAGATGTAGTGATTTAAGTCGCTGCAGGGTTTGGCTGAAAGAGAAAAGCTGTATGACCTCCTCCTGGGCACAGCAGCGGGCATCATTAGAGGTTAGACAAGAAAAAGAAGCATTTTAGAGGATTTAGTTGCCACCAGCTGTCTTGAAAACAAAATGCCTGCAGAAGAAAATGAATGGGAATTTAAAATTTGGCAATAGAGTCACTGGATGCAGAAAATGCATGTGATATTTTCAAGATCTGGGCTATAAATAACCATAAGTCTGTCATTTAACGTAATAAAAACACAATCTTGTATCCTTCAAAATGATTGTTTACAATAAACATCCTTCTCTCTGGGACCCAGTTGTTACAGTCACAAACCATGACTGCACTCAGCGCAGTCTGGCTTCTTATCAGCGGTTGTGGTTCTGTGTCCCAAACGAGAAGACCAGCCTGGTGTCTCTGTCAGCCACAACCCAATCACTACCTCAGCAACCAGAAAACACATGGTTTGACTTTTAGCTTTTTGGTAGAGTCTCTTCTGGGAACGTTTTCGTAATGAGAGAAGTGAGACACCAAACTTATATCTATCTGCACACGTGCTGTTATGATTTATGTCCTTGTCTATTTGACACCTCCTCCAAAAAGTGACCAGATGTCTTGCAGCTGTATTCATCAAAATCAAATGTAAAAAAAATCGAGTTTTATGTTTTTTCCTAGGACGATGTTAGTGAGAATTTTAAAGGAACATTACAAATTAAATGGATCACTTCATCTGTTTCATTGTCAACTTTCCACAGTTTGCCTTTATGCATTAATCTTACAAGTCTGGTCCAATCCTCAGGCACTACCACAGCATTGAGGTTTTCACCCACTATGATCTGCTGACCCTCAATGGGACCAAGGTGGCTGAAGGACACAAAGCCAGCTTCTGTCTGGAGGACACCTACTGCCCTGATGGTAAGAGAAATCACAGAGCAGGGTTGCATAAATCTTCTCTCAGACGGTGGGGATGTGGAAGCCAGAGCAGAAATCGTGACAAGCAGGAGGCTACATGAAGTGCAAAGCACAAATCCCATAATGAGCATTCAAAGTCAGTGGCAGGCTTTAAGATTAGAGGTTGGACCTAAATTGATCTTGGCTTTACAAAACACAGACATCTTTATGCAGCAGAGATCCTTTCTATTCATTTGAAAGCTCTAAAAAAAGATTTGTTTTTTAAATCATTTTGTTATAATTTCAGGCTGTCAGTATAAATTAAAGTCCACAGACTGACAGAGAGGAGAATTTACACATTATACAGTAGTCTTCTCCCTTTATAGGTCTGCTCAGATGTTTCCATCTTCTTCTTTTTTTTCTTTCAGGAATCCATAAACAGTATGCCTGCTACAACATGGGACAACAGGGAATCTCTGTTGGCTGCTGGGACACCTACCGCCACGATATTGACTGCCAGTGGATCGACATCACAGACATTCGTCCTGGTGAATACATCTTCCAGGTTAGAAGCCCATTTTTTTTAATTACAAGTACACATCTTTAACAGTAATCTACCACTTACTCTAACACTTATCTGCTTCCATTATTCTGTAATAAAGTCTGCAAAGCAGTCGATGGAGATAATTGTGAAATGGTTAGTCAATGAAAATGCAGAGAAAAAAAAGGTCCACAATTCCCTTTGCAAGGTGAACTAGCATAACTTCAGAAGCTTTCACAACCGCTCAGTGGAGGAATGAAAGCTAAAAGAAAAAGAAAACAAGCAAACACATGGTTTAGTGTTTCAACATCTGAAGGCGCACAAGAGATAAAAGCTGAGATAAAAGACTGTAATTTCAGTAAATAGCTCTTGGCTGTTTCAGGTGTACAGCATGTAGGCAGTTTTAAGGGTGTGTGCGTATTTAAGGAAAGCGAATTTAGTCTGGTTTTATATAGAAAGTAGACCTGCTATTAGTCCACCCTTCCTGAAAGTACAGGCTTATTGGCAGTGGAACGTGCCTGTCAGCATATTACACTTGTACCAGGCTAGTTTTATGTTTGTCGGTTGGGCATCACATGGCTCGCCGGTTTCTAGACATCCATTCTGCTGTGGTGACCTACTCATCTGTCATCCTTCTGTATCATTTGTTCTATTTTTCCCTGCAAAGCAGAGTGATTGCATTTGCAATCTGAGTGTTTACATGAAATCAAGATGTTTCACTTTGGGTTGCACGTGTATGTTTGTAGACGGTACGTAAACTACATGAGGGAGTGGTTAGACTGTGACGAGCCACGTCTTGAGAGATACAGTAAAACCAAATATATGTCATAAAGCCGAGATGCACTGTTGCCATGACAATGTGACCCATCAGCACTTTGTGGTCATGACTGTGGTTCAGCAGTAGTTCAGCTGCTCATAAATTTGTGTAAGAAGTGAGAGATGGAGGGAGGGAGGGAGGGAGGGAGGGAGGGCACAGATCACTCATCTTTCAAGTAGCAGGGTGTTTCTCGTCACCAAGAATCACAGGGTGGCAGCCATTTTTAGGAGCATACATTTAAGCCGATGAGTCACGTCCACCTCAGCGTGATTGCTCCTGATTGCTTCGTCATTTAGAAAATCAGCTGAACAACCTCTCGGTTTTTTACAGGATGGTGACGACCTTTCATTGTTCTGTAAAAGAGGCCGTGGGCCCTTTGTTTCACATTATTACAAGAGCTTTTAAGCTACCACCAAGTTAATATAATGTTTTACACCACAACTATAAAGGATTCGCTCAAATCAACGTCTGCTTTCAACATGCAATCGTTAAAAATACATGAACTTCTTGACACCAAACTTGGGCTGAAATGTAATTAAAGAATAATATTTTTTGAATATTTTTCATCTAAAATTGTCGTCTGTAAATGTAATTGGAACCACAAAATGTATACTGTATGTTAAAAACTGAAACTGGGTCGCTTTGTTGAATATGTGGTCAAGTTATCTGTTTGAAGTGTGCGTCAGGGAAATTCATTTGTGTGCTTTTCTTATATATAGGGCAGGCTGGCAGACAGGGTGGAAAACAACAAACCATGGCAACCAACCATGGCTACGACCTAATCATAGGCCTCAACTTAAAGCCAAACCCAAAACTATCATCTGCCTCTCTCGTCCTTTTTTTAATTCCTGCATTGAGATAACGGTGGAAAGTGACATCATCCTATGCTAACCCCCCAATTTATATATTATGAGCCTTATAGAGAGGAAGAGAACAATAATCCTGTGGCCTCTTGGTTCGTCACGTGGAAAAACAGCTGTTTCCAAACAGTCTGAAGTTAGTTGTCACTTTCTCACATGTTCCCGTATTTTATTAAAAATCACTCCATGCTGTGTTACTGGTCTAGACTTGGACAGAAATCTACTTCTCAGGCAAACAACAAAGGCCTTTAAACTTTAACATGTCATTTATATACTCCATAAACTAATAGACACACTGTAGAGGGCATGTCGTTTGATAGGGGAAGCTGGGGGTGCTACTTGTCTACTTTGACCATATCCAGGCTACAAGTTTCCCCTTCTTTTCTGCCTTGATGCTATGTTAACTTGGATTTTATTTGAGGCAAAAGGACACAAATAATGGGCAGTTTTAGTCTGGGATTAAACTCATTTTTCATTGCCTTTGTAAAATAGTGACTGTGATTAACCATGTGGTTAATTCATTGAGGAGATAAATATTGAAATGTCTTTTTTAAAGGTTTATTTTTGGGGGGGTTGTGCCTATATTTAGAGATAGGACAGAGGATATACAGTCAGAATGGGGAATGACATGCGTGGAAAGAGCCACATGATCAGATTCGAACCCAGGCTGTCTGCTTGGAGGACTGTGGCCTCCATACATGAAATGCCGATATCTTCTAACCACTGGGTTACTGGCACTCCTCAATGTAACTTTTATATTAGACTAAGTCCTTTAGTTATCCAAAAGAAGCCTCACATGTTTTCGTTACGGGGCTATATACTGGACATGGATGACTGTGTTTAATTTTGGAGACCTTATCCCTAGTTTTATTTTCTTTTACAGGTGGAAGTCAATCCTTCCTTAGACATGGCTGAGTCTGACTTCCAGAACAATGTGATGCGTTGTCGCTGCAAGTATGATGGAGCACGAGTCTACATGTTTGGATGCCATGCAGGTAAAGTGTGACGACTTTTGCAGTTTATCAAATTCTCTATCCATCTCAGTCCTTCCCAGTTGTTTTGCTTTATAATCCAATTTCTCTCTTTGTCTGTTTGCATTAGGTGATGCTTACAGCGCAGAGGCGGAGGACTTATTTGACCACCAACGCCAGATCTCCAACAACTTCCTGTGAATAAAGGAAAACGTAGATTTAAAGACAGAACAACTGAACAATTCCTCACCCCACCTCAACATGTCAGGGTATTGACATGCCAGTAACTTGAGGGTCGTGAGGGTGGGAGACTAGGATGGTTTGGGAGGGACTTACTATCAACAACACCTGTTCCTGTTTGAAAGTCAAAGAAATAACAGAAGGATGAAGAGAGGTAAAATGTTTGGAAAAAAACAAAGCAGAGTTGGCCATCACAAGCATCATGTCACCATGATAGACCATAGAGTAGTTTACAATTTGAAAAATGTGTTACAAGTTTATTTACCTTGATCAATACCAAACTAGAGTTTAGAAAGTAATGACGTGAAGGCACATGAGAGCAAAACATCCTTTACTTTTACAGTGTTTCAACTAGCTGTTGTCCATTTGATATATTGGACAGGCTCTGTACAAGCTTCCTGTGCTTTTGATGTTCTCATTACAAATGCAGTATTTACTGTTACAACTGTGCGGTTTTGGTTTTGAATGATGATTTTTGTTTTTATTTCATGGTGCTATTTTGCCTTATTTGAATAAATATTGTAATGTATTGCAAATGTATTGTCATGTACAGTTTTATATTACCTCTCTGGAATATTGTGCTTTAGGTCTAATTTATGCAGAATTTAAATGTACTTTTGAGTGGAAACTTGTGCCTGTGTGGCTTTGTTTTGTATTGTCACTTTTATCATGAGAAATATTTTCACCTGTTTGTTCTTAACCTGTTTACCAAAAGTGACATCAGATGAGATCTGGTTGTACATTATCACGCCTTTAACAATACTTGGTAATGGTAATGAAAGAATAAAGATCAGATTGACACACTGGATGGTTATTTGAGGCATGGTTATTTAACTACAGAGCTAATGCAGACGCAGGTCAAGTTTAATATTTAAGTCACTCTAGAAGATTTGAGGAATCTGTTAACATGTAAAAAAAGATTCCCAAATGAAACTGACAGAGAAAAAACAGTAAGATGACACGTTAAAGAGCCCATATTATGGCCTTTTTGGGGTTCGTATGTTTACGAATGTACCTACTTTTGTATATTCACAATAGCTAAAGTTCGAAAAAGTGTCTTTTTTCATGTACTGCTCCTCCTTGCTCCCTCTACGCTCTGAGTCCGTCAGCTGCACTCTGTTGAGCCCACACTGTTAGACCCCATGTGGGCCAAGTCTGCTCTGATTGGTCTGCCGATCCGCTCTGTTGTTATTGGTCAGTTGCTCAGCATGCTTCTCGGAAATTTCAACATGAGCTGCAGGGCTTGCCACAACGAGCCAATGGACTTAGATCAGTGATCTCACACTGACAATGACGTCGGACTGACAATTTTTTTTCGAGGGGGGCTAGAACCGAGCATTACATGCAGCTAATGCTACAGCTAACAGGAAGACATAGGAGAAGCCGCGTTTCCGTTTAGATGTGCCTAAACATGCATAGGACACTTGGAAAACACACTGAAGGGCATATAAAACCAGAAAAAGCATAATATGTGAACACTGACACTAACACTAGAAATAATGCTTGTTTTATTATCCCACCAAAACAGCATATTTACTCTAATTTCCCCTTTAGCAGATTTTAAAAAGATCTGAAAACCTTTAAGTTGAGACTGGGACTAAGTCATCGATCCCTGAGCTGTGAACGATTAAAGGATTCACTAAGAAAGGGAAGCAGAATTAAAAATAAATCAATATAGATAATCTATAAAATGAACCTGACAGCCGCTATGCCAAGATGAGCTAAGTTATGGAAAATTAGGACATAAAACTATCTGCAGCCTATTTGAATAATGCTATTATATTGTAACGTTAGCATGCGACGAGAAGAATCATGCTAGTTGCTTAAACTTTCTCAATTTAGCCAAAAGTCAATTCTATGTTAGCATGAGAAGAGTCATGCTACTAAGTACAATTTCATATCTAGCTAAAGCGCAACATTAGCTTGTTGTTGTTGTTAGCGGTTGCTTACTATAATTTTATAATTTTACTATACTATAATTAGATTTACCCAATGTTAACGTATAAAGCTGTCATGACAGACCAAATTAGACTTTAGCCAATCAGTAAAGTTTTTAATAGAATGTGTTTAATTAAAGCAGCAACCTTCGAAGCTCAAAAATGAAGACAATGCGTGTCATACACATCGTATTCAAAAAAGCCAGTTTTTAAAGTAGAAATGGACATGCTTACATCATGCTACAAAATACGGTATTGGTCTGATTAGTTATTGTCCTCACACTGAACGGGGGGTGAATCATTTTATAACGCATCCGATTTGATTTTAAGAAGTCTGTGAAGTATTATCCACAGTTAGGCACGAGGCTGACCTGACTGACAGGTGGTGGGAACAATATAACAGTTTTTAGCAGGCTTTTAACCCGCTTCAGCTCCAGCTGTTAGCCTGTGGTTAGGTTGACTGAAGTTAGGGTGAGACAGCATTTCCAGCATGGCAGCGTTTGCCGATGAGCCTCCAGAGCCCCCTGCATTAACATATGGGTGACGTCACTCAGGCTTCGTCCATTGAAGAGGACATATTATAACTCTTCTCCACCTTTTCAAACAGTCCCCTGTGGTCTAAATGAAACATCTGTGCTGTGCCTGTTGTACAAAATATAACATGAATCAAGCACAAGAGGAGGTTTGTGATCCTGTATAAACCAGCTCTCTCAGAACGCTCTGTTTTTATGTGTGTGTCTCTTTAAATGCAATGAGCCCCACTGAGTGTTCCTGGTAGACATCAATCCTCTGTAGCAAGACTCGAAATGGTAGACCTGTGCAAAAGTTTTGTTCTAGGCTCGGGTTGGAGTCCATGGTTGGAGATATCAGGGGAGGGTTTTTTTTTTACCAGAATCCCACTGTGACATCACAGGGGGAGCAAATTTGAAACGGAGCATTTTTCTCTGTGTAGTAAGACTTATGCAGACCACAAACAAGGACTGGATGGACTTATTTCACATTTTGTGGGTCAGTAGACACTCAGGTTACCCAAATATATGTTCAAAAACACTGTAAAAGTGGATTTTTCATAATATGTCCCCTTTAATATTTAAATCTTGTGGTTTCATTGGTCATGCATTCAATGCATTATTTGTTAGAAGTACAATCTGGACAAATCTCACAACCCTGATGTGCTGCAGGCATGAACTGTAGAGCGGAAAAAATACCTTAATCTTCTATGTTTATTCTCGGACAAATGAAATTAATTATAACAATATTGCTAATGACACTCCACTTGCTCTCGTTATTATACATCTGTGTAATTAGAACCAATGTTTGAATGTTTCAAAAGGAAGTGTGATGTAAGGTGTGTTTTGTGAAATTTATTGGTGCTTGGAAACATAACACCCATACACCCCCAGAGTCCTTTATTGTGGTGGGATAAGATAACTTCAGCAGGTCTACGGCAGAGTTAACACATATGACGATGTTCTCAGTAGTGGTTTGTGTTTTTGTAGTTAATCTTACAATTGTGTGTGAGGTACCCAGCGGGCTGCTTTGTGGTGCATTACCTCCTCGTGAAGCCACAGTAAAGCATGAGATTATAGGCAGGGCTCAGATCTCACACGATGTTGGTAAAGCACAGCAACAGCTGTATGTGTCGTTCAGCTGGAAGAACAACAGAGCACAGGGAGGTCCTCCGCTGATCTGGCAGGCTCACGGCGAAAATGTGTCCACATTTAGTTTTAGAGTACAATGATAGTCATGTAAGAGTATTCTACGTGAGGTCCCTTGTGCACTGTCCAGCGGAGACCTGGCTTTAACTATTCAAAACGTAACCATGGTAACAGGAATATATGGAAACTGTTGAAACACATAACCACTAATCTGCAAAATGAGATATCGGCATTTCAGTGATGGCAAATCTATGCATTTGATTCTGTGTCTCTTTTTGTCCTCAAAATAGTTTTTGGTGATCACACATCAGCAAGTAGGATGAATTAAAACATGAGTCTGTGGACATTTATTTAGCAAGTAAATACACAACAAGATGAGAATATTTATTTTTCTTGACGTTAGTAAGTAATTTCATGAATTCATTCATCTTGATAATTTTGTGGATATATCTTTGAATTGTGTCAACCATCTAAGAGTAATTCTTCTTTTAGGTTTGTGAAGCTGTAATACATGTGTAAGAGACCTCATAGCAGCAGAGCTATATTTGGATTAGAGCCAAGTGTCTGTTATGAGCAGAAAAGGAAATGTGACTCTGAGACTGAAGAAATGTATATGTCTGATATTTACGAGTCAAGCCTTTTAAAGATGTAATGAAGCAGCCAGGAAGTTGTGGGCTATATCTTCTAGCAGAATATAAGCAACACTGTGAAGATGAAGACTTTGCCACTTTGCCGATGTTTGTCAATGATTTCCAGCGATTGTGAGATCTTGGTCAGCATGCGTCAGCGATGGTCTTTGTCAGCCATGTGTGTTCTGTTTCTGTGTTGTCTGACCATGGCTGAATAAATCTAAGATGATCCACAGTCTGTTTCACGAGTTCATCATTGTCCATTTAATACAGAAACAACCTCCACCTAACACTTGAACACCTATTTATCCTTCATTTCATTCATTATACTTCCTGGTTCACATTAATTACTGCATAATGTAACAGCAGCATTTTCTAGTACTGCTGCCCCCATATTTATGTGTTTTTGTCGACATGTTCTTGCTTTATGTGTTGCCTAAAGGTCAAGTTTATTTTCATCAACTTTGATGTTTAAGCATGGCCGAGGTTTGGACAGCACAAATCATTTCTCCTGTACAAAAACATCTTTGGACTACTGATGAAAAAAAGAAAAGAAGAGTGCGTCCTCTGAGGCTGCAGCACTTTAATGAGCCACGTGGCACTGCGTCTCAGTCCTCCTCAGCCAATGATCGGAACAGTTGTACAAACAGGTTTAGCTTCAGCAGTGATGGAGTGCATATATTTGGATAGAAGAAGTATAGTAAGTTTCACACAGACACTATCATTACATTATGAATGATCATCTTTTGAAACACTAACATACCCAGCAATCTGTACTAGTGTGTTTACATATCCCCTTACAGCTGGGACTCTTCAGTAAACAGATTTTTTTTGGCTTGACATTGATAAAACGTTCAATAATTTGCACTAAAGCAAAATGACAAATTTGCAGTGCGCTCCAATGTCTCCAAGAATAAGACTTAATTATTGGCTGAGGAGGTGAGGGAGACGCAGTGCCACATGGTCTGTGGTCAGCCGGGTGAAGCCTCAGAGGAGGCAGCTGCTTCCAGCTGTCACAAACGTCTCTAGAGCTCGGCTGTGTGCTTCAGGAAGCTAAATGTTGAGAAGCTGAGTCTGAATCAGGAGGCAGAGTTTAAAGTTCAACGTTGAGTTTATTCATATAAACATTGATACTCTAAAGGAAAAGACTTCAACATTACAAGAAAAGAGAAAAACAAAACACTGAAGTTAACCACCGTTATTTTTTCACCTTAAAGCTCCTGTAAGGAGTTTTTGGCATGTTACGAGACAATACTGATGCCTCTATACAACCTACAAGCATGAGATAAATGGCTTTCTATATATCAGTTTTAAACATGCTCTACCGCTCTCCCCGTCAAGTGTTAGCTAAGTGAAATAACTGCACGCTACAGACACAGCTTTTTTTAATTTCAAGATTCACAGTGAGTGCTGTGTTTGACCATTAAAAGAAAGCAGGAGGATTTTCTTGAGAGTATTTCTTAGCATGTAAGGGGACTTGTCTAGCTTTGTCCACAGGGATCGACACAAAAAAATCTAATTCATCATCTCTCTCTCTCAATATGAATGTCAAAGAGGCGTAACGGAGGGACGGTGATCCCACCTCTGTACAGCCATTAGAGGTAGTAACAGTGGCGAGACAGCATCGCCAGAGCTGGCCGGGAAGAAACAGCGTTGTGTATGTGAGCGTGTGTCCGAGATACCGTGTGCATACAGTATGTGCTCCCGCTGTTTCTCTACACGCCATGCTTCCACAACGCCGTAACGCAGTGTGAATTCACAGACCAGGACGACAACATTTAGCCTTTGTGGAGTCATTCTGAATGTACAAAGACATCATGACGTGGGAGCTTGGCTACGGCGCTGTTGGGAGATAGCACTTCTGAAAAGGGGCGTGTGCCTATGCTCTGCTATCACGCCTCTAAAAAAAAAAACAGCAACCCTGAGTGGGCGGGGCTATCTCTCTTCCCCCACGTGGTGGCAGGGTTAACGGTTAGACAGAAAAAACGATAACATGCAAAAAATAAAAACATGTATGAAACATGGCTGAGCCTCTGAGTGAAACATTAACAAGCTGAAGGAAGTGTCGTCCAGTCAGTGTGAACACAGAGCTCAGAACAAGCAGCCAGGAGGGCGTTTAACTTCACTCAGTCATTACCTAAGGATATATATTTACTAAGATGTATTTGAGTACTGCTATATTAATGTTTGAAATGTTGCATGCGAATGACCTGTGATGAACACAGTGCTGTAGAATGTGTCCAACAGATAATTAATGCCAGGATAAAACACCTCTGAGTTGAACCAGTGCTTTGATCGCTATTACTTCATGTTTTCAACATTATTCAAGAAATTATTTCTGTCACTTAGCATCCACTTTAAGACCACAAACTACCAAATTTAAAAGCTGGAGTTCAAATGTAATGGCACCCCCTCCCCTTCTGTTCAGGTATAGTTGTCTCCATGTAGAGTAGAAGGATGTATGGTGGGATCTTACTTGATTTAATATAACTTCAAAAGAAAGCCTTTCCGCCACCACATAAACAGGTACATTTGTTTGCGCCATTACTTTAAAAAGGAATAATAAAAATCTAAGGACAAATAAGGATGACAACTGTTCGATAATAAAGAATGTTTGACCCTTTACAATGAATTACTCACTGCTTCCCTACAGACTTGTTAGGATATTAGGAAGAATAAGAGGTGATGTGGTGTTAGCGATGGCCCTGAGGCAACAGTCCCTTCATGGACAAATATGAGCATACAATTATAGTAGCACATTCTTAACTCATGAACCTGACATCTGGTGTGGACAGTGAAAGATGAGAAGTTCAACTATAGTTGTTGAAGGATTGTTGCAGAAAGAAGGGAAACTTGTGGGAATCTATTTCTGGGAAGTGTGGAGGTTTCGAAAAGGAGTGGCCAGTTGAGAAAAACAGATCAGGGGAGGACACAGAGAGAGAGGTCATCACTTTGCTGAATCAAGGACTTTAAAAAAAAAAAAAAAAAAAAATCACAGCCGGGGGGTAGTTTTCTGTCCGGTCACTTCCCCTCCCAAGCATCTTCTTTCTGCCTAGCTGCAAGGCGTTTTTGATCTGGAAGATAAAATCACAGAAGCAAACAGTTTGATAAGTCAATCAGTTAAGCTTCTTAACTTCACAGAAGTGATTTGTTGCGCTCTGATTTGTCAGACAGACGGCTGTGAATGATCTAGATAAAACCATACGTGGCATCCATACCGAGGACACTATGTTCAGAACCAGATGCACGCCTGTTCGCTCGCTCACTCTCTGAGCTTGTTGTGATCTTAAATAAAGAGCACAGCAGTGCGACCAGTCTGAGAACAAAGTAGGTTTTTTTTGTTTTTCTATACTCAAGGCCCTGACTTCCTGACTAGGCTGTTCAGTGGACACCCACTCGTGGTTTTCAGTGCCTATATACTTATGTTCCATCCTGGAAGGGAAATGGCTGCTGGACTGATTATAGACGTTATGATCCACATGGTGGTGGACACAGAGCCACTTCTCTTTGCATCAACTTGCAACCAGTCTTTCCATTTTCTTCAGTTCAGCATAGAAACAGCTCCCTCTTGTGTTGAAGGCCTTGTGGTGCAAAAGTTAAGAAACTCAAATGAGAACTGTTTCAAGTGTTTAAAATTAATTTATTCAGTCAAGGTTGTCTGGGACCGGGGCACTCCTTCTAAAACATCAAACCCCTTTAGCAATACTCAGGATTTGTGTCAAAAGTTTGCTTCTTGGGGCGCTGGTGGCACAGTGGTTAGTACGCGCGCCCCCTTTATGCCTCCATCCTCAGATGGAATCTGACCTGTGGCTTCTTTACTCCACTCTCTTTCCCTGATTTCTGACTCTATCCACTGTCTTATAACTACAAAAAAGGCACGAAAAGCCCAAAAATAAACCTTAAAAAAAAAAAGTTTGCTTCTTAACATAACATCTCTGTGTTTACCTCTCGCATCTTGGAGTTTCTTCTTCTCTGCATCACGCTGCTCCTTCGACAAATTGCTCTTCACACCAAGTGCACCAATCACAAGCTTGCGAGCTAATGCTGCACTCGTCTGAGGTCTCTCTTTGGCTGGCAGGAGGTAGTCTGGGGGAAGGAGGAAATCAGAATAATTAAATTATATGCTATTAGCTTTTTTAATGTGTTAGATACATAAACAAAAACAAAAACAAAGGAGGCAAGAAACCCCGGCTGTATTTGTACCTGAGATGCTTCGGGCTTTGGCCTTCGTAGCAGCGGAGGATTTGGAAAGTGGACGCAGCTTCATCAGAGGATTTTTGGATCTCAAAGCCTCTCGAGCTGAAAATAGAACAGATCACATTTTTTAAAAATCAATGTGTTACAGTTGATGATATCTAAATGACATTCAAACCTGTGTCCTCCTCTCAAATATATCCAGGGCATACTCTAAAGCCACAGCCATGCTAGCAGTGCAGACTAAGGTGCCCATTGGCAGTGGTGAAAAAGCATTGACCTACTGGAGGATAAACAGTACCGCCTCCCATACGCAGGACACTAGCCTGATTGTCTATGGAGGGGCGGTGTGTTGGCTGTTTTTTTTATTTCCTTTGAGGAGTGATGATTTGTGATCAATCAATAAGCGCACAAGGAAGTAATTCTATCGACCCCCCTGAACACAGACTAAATCCCCGTCCGATTCCTACAAACAGCTTTTCACTAACCTGCTATGGGGCTTGAGAAGAGGCCCAGGGCATGGGTGTCATCAACCCACTGGAGGTCAAAGCCTCTTTGTCTGAAAACACACAGAAAACAAATTAAATAAGTTAATTAAGATAAAACTTAAACATTGCTCTTTTTGTTGTGGCTTTCATCAGAAAGTACTGCTAAAGAGAGACAGGGGGCGGCTGTGGCTCAGTTGGTAGAGTTGGTCGTCTCTCAACCGGAAGGTCGGGTGTTCGATCCCCAGCTCCTGTCCAATTTGTCCTGACAAAACAATTAACCCCAAGTGGCTACTGCTGCTTCATCTGCATGTGTATTAATGGGATTAGTTATTTCTGATGGTCACTTTACACAGCAGCCTCTACCATCAGTGTGTGAATGTGTAGGTGCAGTTTAATAGCACTTTGAGTAGTCAGAAGACTAGAAAAGCACTTAACAAGTCAAGTCCATTAGAGGAGAGAAGAGTAAGGGGTAGCTATCAAAGACATTGCAGCCGTGACTTTAAGCTGATGTGTATATGGAGCGCCTGCTCTACCGCCTGAGCTAAACCGGCTCCCAAAAACATGAACCTGTGAATTCTGTTGATATGGGAAGAGATGAATAACCAATAGAAGTAGAACCACAACCAACAGAAGGGAATTTGGCCAATTAACACCACTGTTGTGAGCAGACTCTCTCCTGTAACCACATTCATCTATCAGTTGTCCAGAGATAGAACCCTGAGGTACATCGATGAATGGGGACTGTATTCTGCTTGTACATTTTGAATCTGATAGCAGTACTTTGAATTATACATACTGGTAGGACTGAAATAATTTGAGAAGGTCCTCGTCTTGAACTCGGTAGGGAAGTCGTAGATCTCCACAATGTGAGAAAGTTCGTCCTCTGTGAGGTCGATGTCTTCCTCGTCATCACCATACCGGTCCATGTTGTAATAATCAAACCTGGGCTCCTGGAGTGACTCCTTCTTATTTCCCTCCTCCAAAGCCAGCTGAGAATGACGGACATGGCAAGTGCAGAGAGCAGAAAAAAAAGGTGACATAAGGAAAAAAAGAAAATGTCACATTAAACTTTTATTATAACGCTATTGTATTACAAACTCTTACAAGACAGCAGCAGCAGTGTAAACAGGCAAAGGAGTGTGTGTGAATGTAAGATACCCGCCAAGCTCTCACCTCTTCCAGCAGGTGGGGATCCAGACAGTCTCCATCATCATTGAACAAGGTGTCCCAACTCTCCTCTTCTCCCTTTTCTTCCTCAAGGGAGGCTGCCTCCAGTCGTGATGCACCATCTTCCTCCACACCGGTTAAATCAGGTTGCCCATTAACCTGAACATCTGTATCTCCTAACCGCTCCTCCCCAACAGCAGGCTTGCAGTCCTCACCTTCTCCTCCTACAGATGCCGCCGCTGCTCCGGCTTTGTCCTTCTTGTTTCTGGCGTTTTTCCTCGCCTTGTCTGTGTAGCGGGGCCTGGGTCTTGGTTTGCCTTCTCCCTGAGTTTGAGCTTTGTCTTTGGAGTCATGAGGTCCTTTCTTGGGGACATACAGGGCCTGGTTTGGCTTCTTTGACTGAGACGGAGGTGTAGATGTTGACAGGGCTGTAGCGCAGTCTTCTTTTGGCTGTTCCAACTCCATTATTAACTGATGTTAAAACATCTGGACCACAGAATGAGAGAGAGAGAGAGAGAGAGAGAGAGAGAGAGAGAGAGAGAGAGAGAGAGAAATTCTAAATATTATCACACTTTCATTTCAGTCAGTGAATAAACTCAATAACACCAACACCACGCATTATCTTTTATTTATACGACTGAAACGTGTTTATCCCACAGACTGTAAATATTAAGGTTTATCCCGATAGGTCTCCATTGCAGTTAGCTCGCCACTGTAGCCATAAAGCTAACCCGTTTTGTTATATAAAAAATGTGTTAATTCAGGAAAAAGAAAGTAATGAAAGACTACAGACTACATTATTTTGTTCATTTCATTTCATTTGGAAATGGACTTAAAGATGCTACCATTGTTGTTTTTCAGCTTACCCGTGTTTGGTTGTTCAGAGGCAGATTTCCGTAGCTTAAATGACGCAGCCGCAGCCGTAGGGGACGCAAAGCATTGTGGGAAGTTGGGTTTATGTGTGACGTCGGAGTTGAAACATTCTTGGCAACAGTACGTTATTGTTTTTTTACATCAAATTAGTGTTTTTATCAGGATACCATTTTTCTTCGTGGGTCAATGGTCCTTTCCCTCCGCTTGAATGTATTCTCCGCTAAATTGAATTTGTTTAGCAGCGACTACAGACAGAGCAGACTTCCGCCTTTCACATGCGGGATCCGTAGCTCTTCGCTGATTGGTCAATCCTCCACACGTTACACAAGCTGTTTCATAAAATTTTAAAGGCAGAAGTTGTGTAAGGTAGATGCTTTTGTTGCCAAATAACACAATAACAGGCGTTCACGTTCATTCATTCATTCATTCACATCTCTTCAAACTTCAATCAGACAGAGCTGTCAGGTAAGTTTGAGCAGAATTCCTGCATGACTATCTGCCGAGGAACAATCAGAGATGTGTTTGTGAAGCAAACGATAATGATATCTCTTGTTAACAAAAATAAAACAAGAAAAACCGCGTGTACAAAGATGTGATTAAGAATAAAGTCTTAATAATGATAAGGGCACTATTTGTGACTCTACGTTATTTGCAAAAATAATATTATTGGACATGCATATTGGAATTGCTTTCTTAAATCCACTCTGCAGGATTTTGTAGGACTTCATGTATTTTTTAGAAATCCTAATTAAAGTTTGTTTGATTTTCTTTTTTGTGACTTTGATTTGTTTAATTTCTTTCTCAGAACTTATTATTTTTAAATATTCATCATTGGGTTAACCCGTCATATTCAAATAGAAAAATGTTTCAAATTAGGATGTATATAGGTCCTCTTTTAAATAAGTAAAATGCACTAATTATTTAACCTTTCATGCGTAGTATACAAGTGATTACATGTTAATAACATGAAGCATAATCCGTCCTGCATCATTCACATGTTAGTGCATCATCATCATACTGAATTGATTACTAAGTATATTACCTGTATATCCTTGTTTTTGTGTGTATTTGAATTGATACCTTATTTATTCTAATGCATTTAGAAAATGTTATATTTCCTATTTATTGCATTATTATTGAATGCAGCTTTTATCTTATTCTACACTAAGCTGCTCTGGGAGATGCTTTTCTGTTTTGTTATTCCACACTGAACAATAAGACTTCTTGAGATGTATGAGCCGGTCCTGTTCTGTGATGCACCAGGTTGCAGGGATGTGGGGTTCAGGTCTGTTGCTCCTCCTTGCTGGTCTGTGGCATCAGTCCAACACCCAGAACTCCGAGCCCATGTTTCAGGATGTAACACAGACGGTGCTTCCTCCTGACAATCTGCACAATCCCATGCAACTCAACTATGGAATGGCTGTCACCGACGTGGATGGGGACGGTGATCTGGAGGTGGTAGTCGCAGGGTGAGTTTTAAAGTTTTCTTTAAAAAAAAAGCACCTTTTGTTAGAATTCAGGAGCAAAACGGACTTGTGTGATGCTCTCCCTGCAGGTACAATGGGCCAAACCTCGTGTTGAAGTACGATCGCACTCAAAAAAGGCTGTTTAACATTGCTGTTGATGACATCAACTCCCCATACTACGCCCTGAGGGACTCAGGAGGACAGGCCATTGGAGTCACTGCTTGTGATGTGGACGGAGATGGACGTGAAGAAATCTACTTCCTCAACACAAATGACGCCTATTCCGGTGAATGGTTCTTTCTTATGAAACATTTTAGCCCAAGCAGGTAGCTAAATGAGTTTTCTGCTTAATACATGACTTTTGATGTGCAGGACGGGCAACTTATCTTGACAAGCTCTTCAAGTTCCGAAACGGACGCTTTGAAGACCTTGTGAGTGATGAACTAAATGTAGGTAGGGGCGTCTCTAAACGCATGGCAGGACGCTCTGTGGCATGTGTTGACAGAAAGGTAAGTGAAGCCACTTTCTTATCCTCTTTATCAATGATTCACCATTTCGTTTACGCACACCTGATTGTTTTTATTCTTCAGGGGACTGGCCGTTACTCCATCTATGTTGCAAACTACGCTTCACGTGGCGTCGGTGCCCACGCTCTCTTGGAAATGGACGAGGCCGCCAGTGATGTGACCAACGGTGTCATTGCTCTGTCTGATGTGGCTGCGGAGGCCGGGGTCAACATGTTGACAGGTCAGGTTGGGGAAGGGAAGTCTGCAATACTTGTTGTATGAGGTGGACTCATGTTTTGTCTTTGTGCAGGAGGACGCGGTGTGACTGTGGGACCGATTCTGAGCCAGTCCAGGTCTGATGTGTTCTGTGACAACGAGAACGGACCCAACTTCTTGTTCAAGAATAAAGGAGATGGGACTTTTACCAACATGGCCAAACAAGCAGGTGAGAATATAACTGGAACTGTCATAGTGAGAAATACAAATCAAAGGTAACTTTGAATAAAGGTAATCAAAGTTCCATCTCCCCCTTTTCTGTCCAGTTATTCTCAATTCAAAGCAGTATTTCTAGCATTGCTAGCACTGTGGTAGCAACTGTAATGGCAGTGTTGTATTGTCAGATGAACAACCCATAACTTTTAAGATTTGGCTGCTAATCGTTAAGTTTTGTTGAAGGAGAGCTGATGGGGTTTGTGGAGTTGAATCACAAGCCACCATCACGCCAAACGGCTTTTCCAAGAGTGGAAAAGATGTATGAGGAAAGCGAAGCAGAATTGAGGGCTGATTTGCAACGTGTCTGTTGCTACACACTCGTACACAGCTCTCACCACGGAGTCATATGATATCATCACTTTTCATTTCATTCAGAGCTGGTATACATTTATCCAATACTGATGAGGGCACACCGCACTGGACCACTGGGAAGTTAAAATATATAGTTTTTAAGTAATCGATTATTCTTTTATAAGGTTTTAAGAATACGCAAATATATACATTACTGAAAATCTCCATCCCGAACTGCTATTAGACGGATTTCCGTTAAATTACTATATATCAACCCCATAATCACTGAAACAAGAAAATTAACTTCTTATGGAAAGCCGATTGAAGATTTAATAGATATCCTTGATATCAAAGCTCAGTTTCCTGTACTAGTCAAGTCTTTGGCCGCACTAGTTTACTAGTAGAACGTTGAAAGACTTACTAGTAAACTAGTAGAAGGCAAAAAGTCCTACATGTTAACTAGTAAGGTGCAAAATATCTACTAGTTAACTAGTAAGATATATTTTGTGTCTACTAGTTAACTAGTGAGCCTAAAAATGTTTACTAGTTAACTAGTAAGAGCCAAAATGTCCACTAGTAAGCTAGAAAGGCATATATATGGACCATACTAGCTAACTAGTTAGGATAAAAAGTTTTTACAAGTTAACTAGTAAGAGCAGAAAGGTCCACTAGTTGTACTAGAGATGGCTTTATTAGTCTTACTAGTTAACTAGTGCGGCTCTAAATGTTCACTAGTTAACTAGTAAGAGAACAAATGTCCACTAGTTGCACTAGTATCATCTTTACAAGTCGTACTAGTTAACTAGTGAGACTTAAATATTTTACTAGTAAACTAGCTAGATCTAAAATGTCACTAGTAACACTTGTTGCACAAAATGGTAACGAGGAGGTGGGGGATAAGTGTGGATTGAGGCTTATGATAGGCTCTAAAAATCAAGAACAAAAATAACATCAAATCAGGACCCAGGATTTGGTTATAATCCCACCCACTGCATTTACATATTGCACACTAGTCAACTAGTTGGATTGCAGGATTAGAACTATCTTACTAGTCGATATCTGTTTTCATTTTACTAGTTAACTAGTTAGACACAAATGCTAACTAGTTAACTAGTTAATCTCATAATGGTAACTAGTAACACTAGTGAAGATGCATTTTACCTTTCTAGGTCACTAGTAAGATAAAATGTGTCAACTAGTAACACTAGTTGGAATATTTTTAAACCTACTAGTTAACTAGTGAGGCTCGGAAACGTTTACTAGTTAACATGTAGCAGCTAAAATGTCAACTAGTCACACTACTGAGGGCGGTTTTAACCTTACTAGTTTACTAGTAAAGCCCTATACAGTTTACGAGTAAACTAGTAAGTGCCTTTTTGTCCACTAGTTAAACTAGCTAGTGTCTTTTTGGCCTCACTAGTAAACTAGTTGAAGACTTTGTGTGGCACTAGTAAACTAGTTGCAGACAAAACAGCATACTAGTGGACATTTGCTTTTGACTAGTAAACTAGTTGAATGATATAATTTGACAAGTTTACATGCTGAACAGTTAAAACCCTTTACTAGTTAACTAGTTGAACACAGATGTCAACTAGTAGTCTGATCTGTTGACTACTAGTTAACTTGTGACTGACAATTTATCTAACTAGTTAACTAGTACTGCCAAAAAGACCCTTACTAGTACAACTAGTGGACATTTTGCAATTACTTATTAACTAGTTAACTGTGTTTGGCCTCACTAGTTAACTAGCAAGGTCACACATGGTCTAACTGGTAAACTAGTGGACATTTTGACTCGTTCTAGTTAACTAGTATGCATTTAAAGCCTCACTAGTTTACTAGTAAGGCCTTGAAGACCAAAGTAGTGATACTAGTGTGCATTTTTCTTTCACTAGTACTACTAGTAAACATCTTGAGCCCTACTTGTTAACTAGTAAGGTCAATTAGACTGCAACTAGTGGTACTAGTGACATTTATGCCCTTAGTAATAAACTAGTTAAGCTTTTTGAACATCATTAGTTTACTAGTAAAGTCGAAATGTGTTTTACAAGTGTAACTAGTGGACATTTGGTCCTTACTAGTTTACTTGTAAATGTCAACTGGCAGTCCACTAGTAGTACTAGTAGCACTAGTTGACCGCATGATAATGAAGCAGGCGGGACAAGGATTTTGATTGGTCAATGTCAAACCTGCGATTTTGCCAGCCTTAAAGGGCCAGATCTGAATAGTACCTTCGGTTAAACCAGCACTAATTTCTGAAGGTTTGTTCATTTGTGTCATGTTATATTATCACTAAATGGTAACTCACTGAATGCCCTTTGATAGAATTTTATGACCCATGCACAGATTAAATCCAAATCTGATGTTACATTGTTATTCATCTTTTCAACTTTTTTGTTTTTTAAACTTAGTATTATTTGTTCTAAAAATCACTAATGATTATTCATTATTGCAGTATTTGTCAAAAAATAAACAATAACCCATCACTTAATATTTATATATAGTAGTATGATTGAATAAAATAAAATCTTGCACAACATTAATGTTCAAGGATTTTAGCTTTTTTCTTGCCATTGAAAATATGGCAATATAAAATATGAAAGATATACTAGTTTGAAACTTGCAAAGTGAAAAATTAAGTATATTCTTTTTAAATCATGAAAGAAATGTGTTTATATTTAGTTTATCTGCTAGATGATCATGCAAAATATTGAATAAAATATTAGGATTTAGGACAAGTGTATACTGAATTATTAAACTAATGTGAATAAGATGTTTTAATGTTTTTTTTATAAATATAAAGTCAGCCTCTTACATCTGGAGAAATAACCCTTATACAAGAAGTAGCTGCAGAGAGATATGCATTTCGGCCATTAGGTGTCAGTTGCAGGATCGGTATGTTATGGACTTGCTAAATTTTCTTGGTTTAGCTTCGAGTAAGCCCAGCAGAAAAGATACATATGGCAGTGAGCAGATATAAGTGCACAAGCAACATACATTAAGATTTATTTTATCATATGAGGAGTCATGTTTTATGATTAAAGCATAAAATTAAGATACTACTTGCAAATGCCCACCAGATGGTGCTATACTTATATATGCTGCTAATGTGTACAGTACTAGTACTACTAGTGGACATTTAGGCTCTTACTAGTAGCACTAGTAGCACTAGTAGTACTAGTAGCACTAGTTGCACTAGTTGCACTAGTTGCATAGTAGCACTAGTGCACTAGTACTAGTAGCACTAGTTACTAGTAGCACTAGTACTACTAGTGGACATTTAGGCTCTTACTAGTAGCACTAGTGCTACTAGTGCGACTAGTGCGACTAGTGCTACTAGTAAGAGCCTAAATGTCCACTAGTAGTACTAGTGCTACTAGTGCTACTAGTGCGACTAGTGCGACTAGTGCAACTAGTGCAACTAGTGCTACTAGTACTACTAGTGCTACTAGTGCTACTAGTGCGACTAGTGCTACTAGTCGCACTAGTAAAGGCCTAAATGTCAACTAGTAGTACTAGTACTGTAGACAGTATATGTACGTATAGCACCATCTGTGGGGCATTTGCAAATAGTACAATTTTTAACCTTTACTGTACATGATAAAATTAAATTTTTAGGGCTCATTTATACAATGGAGTAGAGCCATCTTAAAGAAAAAAAGAGAAAATATTAATCTTGTATATGTACGAGAATAAACATGTAAATTTAGGAGAATAAAAAAATGATGAAAGGAGAACCCCTAAAGCATTTTCCTCTGCCACAAAAGAGACAGTTTCATCCAAGTCAGTGTGGTTTTTTCTTTGGAAAATTACAGTTGCTTCCAGTATCTTTTCAGGGTCCTAATATTTTATGACAATGTGATGATGATGTGCTGATAAAACAACTTATCGGATATATTTGTCAAACTGTTTTTACAGACTACACAAGGAAGGAGCCTATTTCCTTATTTGTCAAACCTTTACTATAACAAGATGCTCCACGTTTATCATTTTCGAACAGGCGGCTCCTGCTCTTCTGATATACCAATATATTCTACTATTATATTATATAATATATTATATGTTCAAGTATTCAGCTGTTTTATGAAGGGAAATGTTTAAACTATTTAAGAAAATACTAAAGGGGACTTTGTCTCAATCATAAACAGTGTAGAGTATTTTAGTGTTTTTAGTTTTTTTATTTTTAGTCTCAAATGCAGCCTCAAAGGCTGATGTAGCTGCAACTAAACCTGAGATGAAAGATAATCCATTTATTGTTTTAAAATGAACCTGTATGAGCTTAAATATTAGATGTTTTAGTCTCTGTTTGTTTACCTATTAAATACTGAAGCTTCTAACTGAATCTTCTTGGTTTTAAGTATTTATTTTCACACATCTGAGATATGTTAAGTTGCAGCTGCTTACAAGACCCAACTTCCTCATTCATCTGCTTCAAAATAAAAGCACATCACATAGATGGTAATAAGGGACTTTTATTGTGAAAGACTTTCCGGAACTAAATGCGTTTATCACTCGGAGCTGCAGCGGCGATTGTAGTTGCGAAGGCTGTAGTGAGAAAGAGTACTCAGCCACTTCCTTGCCCAAGAGTTAGAGCCACAGCCAACTTATTTGAATCATCTTGGACTTAAGACAATGAGACATCAGTTTATAAACACCTTCAGCAGGTAGACCCACAGTAGTGGAGGTGC